AAATACGATGTGGATGCTCGCAAGCGATCAAATCGGGCGGAGGTAGTTGACCTTCACTATGACCGCCTGCACAACCCTGAGAACTGTTTCCATATCGAGTTAAGCTGGATGAGCACGACCCCCAAGATGATCGAAGACACGGTACACAACTGGGCCTCGACCGCTGAGAAGTTTGGGTTGAAATTGGTCCAAGTTCCTATTGCTGAAGCATGTGCCATCGATCGAACCCAGCCATTCCGAAAGCCGTACAAAATCACCCTGAAGACGCCGGCGCCAAAAGGCCCCGTCCATACGGTCTTCAACAATGCATCGTTTGCACAGCCAGGGCCACCGGACCCGCTATACTACCAGAAGTGCATATTGCGCAAGTTTGACTTCGTGCTTGATTTCGAGGCTGCTTCCGCGTTCCCGCGGATGTCGAGGTCTCATTTTCCTGGGGTAAACCCGACTACAAATATCCGCAATTCATTCACCGAACAGGTAGCATCCTAGCCCAGATCACCGACGAAGGTGATTTCCTACTCCTGGCAAACCGTCTAGTCAGCACCCGGGCCGCTGCAGGTCGTGACACGGGCCGATATGAGCATCATAATCGCACAGATTACCGGGGCCGCCCAGCAGCAGCCCACGATCCACTAGATCGTACCTGCTCACCACGTCTCTCGCCAATGACCAGACCTCTCCACGATATCGGAAGCCCGATGCCGAACCCAGTCTCATCCAACATCGACTCTGCAAACCTCTACCGGGCCCCAGAACACATCCTCAACGCCCTTCAAGAGTTCTGCAGCGATGTCGTCCAGCTGGAACAGTTCTACAAGGAATCGCACGTCCGTCCAGTCTCGACAAAGGTCGAGCCCGCAACCGCACATCATCTCATGGATACTTCTATCCCATCCTTGGAGTTACCTGCCAGCGTGGTTAGCCACCACATCTCTCCCCCGCCCGGATTGCCGTCTCGTGTTACGAACGACCGGCGTGAATCCCACGACGGATTGCAGTCGCCAGAATTGGTACGTGCTCGTGCGCGCGGTGAGAGTCTGAGCTATACTCGTAGTCCCCGAAGTGGGACCTTGCGACCTCTGATTTAAAATACCAGATTCGCAATGCCTTTCCGATGGACTTGCTTTTTGTTTGATTAATCTTGTTTTGTACCAAATACCCTGTCTGCGATTATCTGTGTCATGTATACGATAGCTTTTATGAAATAAATGTTTCTCTCTCCATTTTTCACTCCGCTGCCACCTCAATGGAAGGAAGTATGAGTGTGTAGTGCCTGTCATGAAGGAGGCAAGATGAACCGCAGAATCCAGAAAACCACCCAGGCACACACCGGTAAAATTAATTCAGCTACTCTTTAATCTTCGGTAGTGATGACGAATCTATCCAGCGTCCCCAACAAATCTAATCCGATCTAATCTAATCCCGATGAATACCCCTGATATTCCACTAAAAACGCCATAAAGGAGAGGGGGACATTTAGCCAAATGGCCCTGCATTCAGCCGAAACTCGCCCCCGCAACCTCTGGTTGGTGGATATGCCGGCTATACCCTTGCAATAAGTACTGATAGGTACTGACATCGTGAGAAAAACGGGTTTGCCCCGCTTGTTCCACAGCGCATCTCGCATACGTCCAGTGTCCCTTAGTGAGACCCACGATCTGGTGATGTCGGACGGTCCTCCGTGTCGGATTGGGATGCTACGAGGGGAATTGAGGGGAGTTCAAAAACTTGACCGGGGGCTATTTGCTTTCTATTTCTTTTCTTCATCATCGGCTTCTTCTTCTCTTGTTCATACCTTCGTTCAAGTTCTTCCTGTGACTTGGTACTTTTCCAATTCGATCCGGCTGTGCGGGGTTTTAGATACTCATTAGAACAACGGTCTTTAGGTGATCATGAAGTTCACAGAGGGAATGTGGTGCTTGCGGGTATGGCTTCTTCCCTTCATTAGATTTTACCATCCAAGCATAAAGCGATGTTATGTTTTCGAAGCTCAGTATGCTAATTATGGGCTATCAATAGGAGGGGGTTAACATCGAATGGATGAGCAATGTCGAAAGACTGCGTGTACAGCAGGAAACGGTCGATCTACTACTGAACAAATTTCAGCGACACCGCGGTGATACTTTGAACTCGCGTATGTATTTCGCTTTTCTCGCCGAGCAATTGGGTTTAGCTAATGGATTGCTGGCTACTTAGCGACCATCTCAGCAAAGGTGACTTCGCCTTTAGACGGGATTATTGGCGTGAAGCTTGTTCATTGGTAAGTACCGACCACCTACATTTAAACAGAAGAGGGTTTCCCAAAATAAATGAAGATGGAAAAGACAGCTAACTTCTTCCAGGGCCGGAAATGTAGATAATGGCCCTCACTACGCCATCGACCAAGAAACCGGACACGCCACAATCACCCAGAACCAAGATACCAAGAAACTCACCTATGCCAGTGGACCGCTCTCCCTGGACATAAATTCCAATCCCAACGAACTAGACTTCGTCTTTCACAGCGAATCTTCCAAAAAGCTCACAGGTCATTCATTCCGATCAATCGGGTACGTCCGTGACGCGCGCAGCGCCAAATACGACACCGCAGATGGAATCTACGCCGAGAAGCAAGGATACATGCTAGTCGAACTAGACCTCGGGGTCGGGGAAAAGGTCTACGGTCTCGGCGAGCGATTCGGTCCCCTTGTCAAAAACGGGCAGACGGTTGATATCTGGAATGAGGATGGAGGTACGAGCTCCGAGCTTGCGTATAAGAATATCCCATTCTATATCTCGTCCAAGGGGTACGGAGTCTTTGTCAATCATCCGGGTAAAGTGAGTTTGGAAGTACAGTCTGAGCGCACGACGCGGGTGAATATCTCTGTCTCTGGTGAGGAACTTGAATACTTTGTTATCTTTGGGACGTCGCCAAAGGATGTGCTCAGGCGGTATACTACTCTTACGGGAAAACCGGCGCTTGTGCCGGCGTGGAGCTATAATCTTTGGCTGACGACGAGTTTTACGACGAATTATGATGAGCAGACTGTTACGGGGTTTTTGGATGGGTTTAAAGAGAGAGATATTCCGTTGGGTGTGTTTCATTTTGACTGTTTCTGGATGAAGTCATATCAATGGTGTGATTTCGATTTCGATGATGAAATGTTTCCTGATGCCGCGGGCTATCTTAAGAGATTGAAAGATCGAGGATTGAGGATCAGTGTGTGGATCAATCCATATGTCGGGCAGGCTTCTCCTCTGTTTGAGGAAGGGAAGAAAAATGGTTACTTTATCAAGGTATGATATCGATAGCGATCCGCTTTTATTCTACTGGATACAAACTAACAATACCTCCAGCGCACCGATGACTCCGTCTGGCAATGGGACTTCTGGCAAGCCGGTATGGCCGTCGTGGACTTCACCAATCCCGCAGCGTGCACCTGGTACACCAACCATTTAGAAAGACTCATGGACATGGGAGTCGACAGTTTCAAAACCGACTTCGCAGAACGAATCCCAGTAAAAGGCATAAAATACCACGACAACTCAGACCCCGCCCGAATGCACAACTACTACGCCCTCCTCTACAACCGCATCGTCTACAACGCGCTAAACGCCCGCGTTGGTACAAACCAAGGCCTCCTCTTCGCGCGCAGCGCCGCCCCCGGTGGCCAGCAATTCCCCGTTCACTGGGGCGGCGACTGCGAGAGTACCTTCGAAGCAATGGCGGAGTCCCTGCGTGGTGGACTGAGCTTAATGCTTAGCGGGTATATCTTCTGGGCATCGGATATCGGAGGCTTTGAAGGAACGCCGCCGCCGGCGTTGTATAAGCGATGGGTGCAGTTTGGACTTTTGTCTTCGCATTCGCGACTTCATGGGTCCAGTTCGTTCCGGGTTCCGTGGATATATGGCGAGGACTGCTCGGATGTTTTGCGGGATTGCGTGAAGAGGAAGATTCTGCTTACGCCGTATATCTTGCAAGAAGCTCTACGGGGTCATCGGGAGGGTGTGCCGCTTATGAGGGCGCTTTTCCTTGAGTTTCCGCAGGATTTGAATACGTATGCTGTTGATACGCAGTATATGTTTGGGTCGAATTTGATGGTTGCGCCTGTTTTCTCGGAAGAGGGTGAGGTCACCTTTTATGTGCCTCGGGTTGAGGATGAGAGCCAGGGAACTTGGGTCAGCTGGTTTGATTATTCGAAAACTTATGAGGGTGGCCGGTGGTATACTGAAACTCATGGTTTTGATACACTGCCCATTCTTGTTCGGCCGGGAACAGTGACAATCACGAATCCCTTGCTGAAGGCACCCGAGGATGCAGCATTGGAGGGTATTCAATTGTTGGTCAATGGCAGATTAGATGGTAAGGTCTCGGTGGAAATTGTGAATCCTGGTCAAACGGGTGAGGTCTTGAAGACCATTCAGGTCTCTCCTGCCGCGGATGGGAAGAGCGTTGAGGTTGAAGGACAAGAAACCGAGGTGATCTACTTGCATAAGTGAGCAATGATCTTTTGAAACGGTCGAGAATTGAAATTTGTGGCCATTCTTTATCCAGGCATTGTCAATTAGTATTCATCTAGATTTTCGGTTCATAGATTAGAGGAAGTTCAACACGAGACTATATGTGGTGAAAAGTATCTAATGTCGGGTCCACTACAATACAATCGGATCAATTGGGGCACTTGACCACTAAGCAATGCTCAGATGGTGTCAAGGAAAAGATCGAGAGAACTAGTCTATTCATCAAAAGTAAAGTAAAAAGTTAATATCAAAATCAAAATCAAACAAAAATGCCAGGCCTGGTTGAAACAGGCATCAACAAAGACTTGGGTATCATAGAAGAGCATCGCAGCAATGCACAGCGAGGTATGAATCATACTTCTGAATCGGCAAAAAGATTAGGTGTGGAAACCCCTCTAAAGAGGGGGCAGCGCATGATAAAACGCTTTGAGGTGGGTGGGTGTAAATGAGCCATGACAGTTCACGGCAATGTAAATGGAAAATGATAATTCAATCAATCACCAAGCTTCTTCGACATCAAGAAGCCACTTGCGTATTCCTTGACGCAAGGTATTATCGGCGCCAATCTGAGCGCGTCGACGCTCGCGGTCAGCAACGCCTAGTTCGTTATCAACGTCTTCCCGGCAGTGCTCGGCTGTGACGATGCGGACAACCTCTTCCAGAGCTCCGAGCACCATTTTGCGACATTCTGCACGGGGTACTTCAACAGGAGGATCTTCTGCTCGGGGCGTGGTCTGGCCGGTGTCATCTCCTCGTCGAGCACGCGAAGGTGACGGGGCACGGGATTGTGCTAGCGAGGAATATCCGCTTTGTCCAAGGACTCGCTCAACTGCATCGACAAGAATACCATCGAGATCCATGACAGGCTCCTCGATGAATCTTTCTTCCACATGGTGAGGGTCTTGCCCGTTGCTGAGGTTGTCATCGGGCGACTTGCTATAGCCAAAAATGCCAGGGAATTGGGAGGTTGAAGAGGAGCGGTGGCCTTGGTTGAGGCCACTGACCGGGGATGGAGGGGTTTGGCTTGCTCCATAATGATGGCCCACGATAATCTTGCGCCTTAAGCGGAGGCGTTTGACAGAAGAAGCCCGGGTATCTGCAATCAAGGTAGTTGCGACATCGACCCAACGCTCTGAGCCATCTGCGTCTGGAGACGAAGGGATGTAGGGTGAGGGCTCGGCTTGCATGGCGCGTTTAATATCTGCCTCGACAGATGCATAAGGTCTGACTGCTTGCAGGGAGAAATCTTCATGGAATACCTTCAGCCACCCAGCAACGTGAGAGCTGGGGCCATCGGGGGTATCTTTCATGGCGTTGTGGAATCCAGATCCGCTGCTGTGAGTGGATGGAATGGCATCGACGCTGTTAATTGATGCTCGAGTCTTTCTCGGCGATGCAATTGTAGAGTCTCCCGAGGAGGAAAGAGATAAGAATCCAGGAAGTGGAAGATCGACGTCTACCACCCCGTCTTCGGCACGCACTGATAGCTTCAGAGGAGACTCGCGAACTTGGCTTGTCAGAGATGAAGGCTCCGGGGAAGTATCTTCAGATCCATGGGGTGCAGCCGTGGGGATTGAGATATTTCCACTCGGTACTGTTTCGGAAGGGTGCTCCGCCTCGTCTTCAGTGACCTCCTTGACCATTTCACTCAATATGGGCGGGCCACGTGTTATGGGACCTGCAATTGTAGACACCGACTTTTTGCGGGCTTGAGATGGAGAGTAGTAATCGGCCCCATCTGTAGACTCCTGTCGTGAACTCCACAGGCCCGAGAAGAGACCTCCCCAGCGGCCACCGGCAGATGGAAGACTTCCGTTGGAGCTCAGTACATTGCTGTCGCTTCGTTGTAGGTTCTTCAGCAAGTTCTCCGATGCCAGGCTGTCATTGGACTCCACCCCACTCTGGTCAGGTCCTCCCTGGCTGGTACGACTTTGCTGTGAAGTGAAATGAGGAACAGGGACGGTACTGCTTTGGTTCGTCATCGAGATGGTTGCTCCACTAGCACGAGGATCTCTGGCCTGGGGGTTGGGCCCTAATGTCCGGATGGAACGGGCATCTGATCCTCTACGTGCGGCTGGATGTGATGGGGGGTTCATGTCAACAGCTTCTGTAGATCTAAGAGTGGTTTCTTGAGATGAGACGCTCGGCGAACGCCTGTGTTGACCATTCTCACCGAGAAAACCTCTTTGGGCTCGTGTGCGTCGTTCAATAGCCCTGCGAAGGGATTCCTGACGAAGGACTGGCACCGCCGGGGGGGCTTTGAGAAACGGCACGCATGGACGCCGAGGTTCCGGGACGAAGCGGCGAAGGCAGGGGATCGATTCGCTGTTTGGAAGGGAAGAATGCAGAGAGTAGGAAAATCAAACGGCGGGCGGTCATCTTGTCCGGGCAGATGACTACAGTTCGGTGGGTGAGGATGGGTTCAGAGTCCTGTTGAGCCTTTTGCTGCTGATTATGGCGGCGACGGTACCAGTCCGGTCCAAGGGCATTGAGCCACTCTGTATGGTTGCCCAGGAATGCAGTCAGCAAGACCAAGAAGAAGAAATTCGATTCTTTATCTCCAAGCCCCCGAACAATCGAACGGCCTTCCTCTCGCCACACGCCCCAGCGACTCTGGCCAGTCACGACGTATGGGGTTTGAAGAGCCATGCTAATGCGACGCGTACTGCGAATGGCCTCTTCCTTGAGTTTGGAGTTCACTGCAAGTATGTTGGCAGGCAAATGAACTATGGTCTGGTTGGTGCGCTGCATATTCGGAGGTTTCGCAGGTTTCGGGTGGGAGCCAGCGAGGGAATCGACCTTTCGCAACAAAAAAAGGATCTCGTTCCGGGCAAGTCGCTCCAAGTGGGATAATGTGCGGGTAATCACATCCCAATGATCAACCAGCAGATCCAAACGCTCGTCTAAGCTCGCTGGAGGGGAAGCGGCTGATAAGCTATCATCAAAAAGTACGCCGGGCCAACGGTAGTCCGAATCCAGAGAGCTAGAAAGTCCAATCCGAGAAGAATCCAGACCGAGGGTGCTGAATCGAGATACTGGTCTTCCCGCATTACTGCGTGCAAGTAAGGGAATTTGAATCGTAATCGCAACCGCATACATGGGCGTCTTCTTTTCCTTGATTTTCTTCCGCTTTGCCACATCCGGAAAGGGGAAGCCCATCTCGGGAAGAGATTCCTGGTAGATAGCATTGGCGTAATCCTGCCGGTCGGCTGAAGCATCGGGGCCTTCTGGAAGATTGACACTAAACATCCGGGTCAATAAAACGGTGACCTTGGCAGGCGGTTTGCCATCTGGGCCTCGAGCCGCTCCCATCATTCCAGAGGGACTTCCAGTGGTGTAAGCTCGAGCAATAGGGCTTCGACCGGCAGGGGACATGCTAGCTGACGTTCCAGGGTCATCGTCAGCAGAGATGATGTGCATTTTTGTGGATGAACCTCGGTAGCTGAACGCGCTGCTGCCGAAGATGCAGTTGAGCAAGCCAGTGTCATTGGAATCGGTGCCATGTCTCGGATTATCGTGCCAATTTCCTCCGGGGGTAAGTGTAGAGCTACGGCCTCGGGCCCGGGAGAAAGCGCCGGCGCTGGCTGTTGAGGCCCGCCGTGCGCTAGCGGCGGTAGCAAGGGGACTCGATTCGACGACGGATGATTGCGTATGGATATTTCGGCGAGTGCCGCGAGATAGACTGGAGACAGCACGAGTATGTCTGGAGCCAGTTTGATCGAGGCCCTGCGAGTCGATGCCGAGACCAGTGGGGGGAGAATCGGATGGGGCACGTGTGTCCAACAAGACGCAGGCATCCCGGTCACCCAGGGCATTCTGTGCCACAATCACCCGAAAATCCTTGGATGGTTCCAATTCCATCCCCCCACGGTCATCGTAAGCACCAGCAGCGGAGGCATTGGGAGAGTGAAAGGTCGTTTGTAGTGTGTATGCATGGGTGTTCGAACGACGGAGCAGGCTAGCATCCGGGAAGAGAAGGCCGGAGGTATGTTCCTCTTCGGTGACCGATTCGAGGGGAGTTCCGTGATTGCGAGAGGAAGAATAGGTGGCCGGGTTCAAGCTTGACGCGGCGGTGCTTAATAGTCGACCCAACATGGTCAAGGTCAGATTACCACGGGGGGATTAAACCCGCCGTTAACAGAGGGAGGTAGCAGATTCAATAAGAGGCAAATGGACCGATCGATAGATGTAGTGTAACGATGGGTATCAGACAGCTAGGCGATACTAGACTGCATGTACCCATTGCTTAATTCCACGGAGCAGGAACCATCATCGACCTGATGGAGGGGCGAGAATGTCAAGAAATGCTGGGGGAGGGGAGGTTGGAAGAGTAGGAAAGTGGGATGAGCTGCAGCAGTGGGGTAGGGATTGCCACCGAGACAGCAGGATAGAGGAGACAATTGGCGGGGCACCCCACAGTGAAGTCAGAAAGAGTAGAAAAGAAAAGAAACGGAGGCAGCGAGGCTGTTTCTTGAATGGAGGGGAGTTGGAGAGGAAAGTTGTGGAGATTCCGAATGGCGGTGTGCTGCAGTGACAACGGGTCCGCCACATGATCATCAGCCTCACTTGTGACACTGCATTAGCAGTAGGTAGTAGGTGAAGGGGGAGTAAGATAAAGATATAACTTGAATCTAGAATAGGAGACACTGGGAGAGGTCTATCTTTCCAGGGTTGTATGGTGTATCCTGCCGAATGACTCAAGCAGTAGTACCCTTGGACACTATGGTACTGTATGCGACCACTTGATACCTGGTACATAGAGAGAATTTTAGTAAATAGAGAATACAAATATACTGGACTGGACTGGACTGGAAATTATCGATATACACTGGATAATTATCTGTAATAGAGCGGTGAACCCCAGGTGACACAGTATCAACCACTGACTGACTGCATGGTTACGCGGTGGGAGACCTGGCTCAGACCAGCTTCTTTTCTTGAACAGCTTCACCACTAATGCTGCCTACGCTGCATGAGATACCATCAAGAAAGTATGCATGTACTCCGTATGCACTCCGAACGTACTCCGTACAGAGTAACCACTCCCAGGTCTCTGCAACCAGAAACTACTGATGCAAACGGCATGAGATCTGCAAAACAATCGCTAAGATATGATCTGTCCAATTCTATCCATATCCATACAGATTTGATATCGTGGTCCCGTAGTTACAATAGGCAAAGCCAACCAGCAGCTGCGCTCATGCCTTCTTCGACTGCCGCTTGACCTTGTCCACCAACCGCTTGAGATCCTCGGACCCAGCCTCCTTTGATGCCTTCTTCTGCTTCTTCGAGCTGTCCCGGTGCTCCCCTGCCACATCGGTCTCAACGTCATCTCCGTTACGCCGGCGCTTACGGCCTTCGTCCAACAGGGCCTTCATGCCGGAGGTCGCCTTGAATCGGGGATTGGTAGGATCAATCGCGAACTCATGACTCTCATACAGACGGGCGAATCGGGGATCGCTGACGTCGACATTAAAATCATCCGGGACTGCAACAGCCTCCTTGTTCTTGCCCTTGCCCTTGCCCTTCTTCCGCTTGGCCTGTTTCTCGGCCTTTTCAATCTCAGTCATGTCGAAGTGCTTGATGTCTGCCTGCTTGTCGTCCACCATGAGAAGCTCCAGCTCAGCCCGTTGGCGAGCCGAGGCAGCTTCTTCAGCAGCACGTTCCTCCCGCTTCTTACGCTTCTCCTCCTTGCGGCGGGATGTTGCCTCAGCCTTGCCGGATGGATCATCGAAGAAGGGATCGTTGAAGCCCAAGTCTTCCTCCGTTTGGGCTACCTCGGCCGGGGCAACCTCCTCCTCCTCCTTTGCGCCATTATCCGAGTCCTCTCCATCTTCGTCGCCACGCTTGGCTTTTTGCTTCTCCTTTCGTCGCTTCTTGCGCTCGCGTTCCTTGCGCACGTATTTGTCGACAGTGCTCTCCTCGATCTCTGGCTCGTTCTCGAAGATGGTATCCTTGCCGTGACCGCCAGCCAGACCAGACGTGAAGGTCACTTCCATCTCGCCAACGGGGCCATCGGACTTGGAGCGCGTGGGTTCCGCGCTGAGACCCAGCAATGCCCGCATGCGCTGTCTCTCGGCGTCCCGCTTGGAAAGCTTGCTTGATGTGCCTTCGTTTGTAGTATTATCAACAACTTCCACTCCGCCATCTTCCTCGTCCTCGCTGTCAGAGCTGTCGCTGCCAAGGTATGCCTTCAGGTCGTTTTCATCAATGTCCTTTCGCGAGCCACGGAACGCACGTCCCTGGGCCTCCTTGCGAGCCTTATCATCCGCGTCCCAGGTCAACTTGACTTTGCTGTGTTGAAGAGCATCGGTGACGAAATCGCTGGGTCTGTAGTCGTCGGGAATTCGAGAGCATTGGTCTCGGGGCTTGTCATCGTCGAAATCGGTCTCATCGGGAACGAAGCGGAGATCAAAGAAGTTGGCACTAGAGAGATACTCCGCGCCGTCAACGAGGTCGTAGACATGCTTGGCCACCTCCTTGGTGGAGAATGTAAGAATTGCGTAGTAGTAGCGGAGTCTCTCAAGCTGGTAGCGGCGCAATTCTGTAGAGTTGAACTCTTGACCATCGTCACCCTTCAGCATGGACTTTTTGATTTCTTCCTTTTCCTCGTCCGAGTCAAGCTCCTCTTCCTCCTCTTCCTCCTTTTTCGTAGCGAAGATCTCTCGAGGAGGTCCTTCAATCTCTTCCTTCTCCATGCGCTCTTTTCCGAATTCACTTGGGTAGACAGACACCTTCAGCACACGGCCTCCAGTCGGGGCAAAGCTTGAGAAAACGGCCATAAGATCTTCGGCACGAATATTGTCCCAGTCCAGATTGACGACCGCTATCCGAGTCGTTACATCTCCAAGAGGCACATTGGCTTGCTGCTGGTCGGGGAATTCAATTTCGTCTTCATCGAATTCTGCCTCTTCATCCTCCTCCTCTTCACTTGAGCTTTCCTCTTCGGATGAAGAGTCAGAAAATCCGCCATCGCGAGCAGGATCGTACGAGCGTCCTTCATTAATCCGCTTCAGCTCTTTCCGCACTTCCTTGTCATCGTCAATGCTGACATTGTCTGCGACATCCTCCTCTTCCTCCTGCTCCTCCTCGTTATCCTCATCCTCGTCCAAACGGTACAGCTTCTTCAGTTGTTTCTTTGTATCGTCACGGGCCAATTTGCGTCCATATCGGTCAACAGCAGCATTGCGAGAGAAATCTTTATCCTCAAGCATGTGCTGAAAGCGCTTGTCGAGTTTGACATGGGTTTGACGCTTGCTGGGAAGACGGTAGCGGGGATCGGTCTGGATATTGGCAAATCGAGGGTCGGCTATAAATTTCATCAAGTTAGCGAATCTTCTTTCTATTGTGAAAGCGAATTTGGGGATCGCATAGAACGTACTAATCACCGGACCGGCTTCGCCTTTGGCTTTGCCACCCTTCTTCGCCTTTTTCTTGTCTTGTCCTGCCATTGTGGAATGCACCTGTATATTCAGAATACAGAGCGAACACAATTTAACAGAAGCCGAAAGATTAGATCTTGATTGTCAATCGCGTGGATGAGGAGAAACGATTCGGTGCGCGGACAGACGAATTTCTTTTTTTCTGCCGGTTTTTCAAGGCGGTGCCGGGGGTCGTGGTGCACGTGCCATTTCGCTCAAAACGGAAAGTGCATCGGCGTATACTACAATACATAAACATAAAATTAGTGCTATGGTGGAAAGCTTTCAAGACTATCTACCAGGTAGTATCTAGGTAGTCGGTGGTAGGTACTGTACAGCGCTGGAGTTGATGGTAATTTGGAGCTGGTGAAATGCCCAGATGCACTGTGTTGGCAGAAATATATATTGAGTTGGGATTGAACATGGACCCCATACCTGCTGGATAGGTACTAGTACCATGAGATTGATACAAGACAACATGGCAGTGATCACTGGCGCCCGGGCGGAATTAAGTAGTAGGTATTTTTGGAATTTATTAGACAGTAATAGCAGCTGGAGAAAATTAACAATCCCAAGAAGAAGGTTTAACCCAAGGTTCAAGTCGTTGACAAGTTGAGTCTGGCGGCGTGTTAGGATTTGATCTAGGTAGTAGGAAATATATCGCTAGTAAAATAATTCAATGCGTAATGAACATCATATATGCAACGTGCGTTTATGTACTTCGTTAGGTAGTAACATGGGAGCAACTGGCTTACTCGCGAGAACACACTAGCAACCAAAGTAGCGCTTCTCCATCCATCGAGGCTCAGCCTCGTTCTCGATCCGACCAACCACAACCTTGATCTTAGGGTACACCGCCGTCAATCGCTTCAGTCCTGTTTCTCCGGCGGCACAGGTAACGAAGACAATGCGCTCCTCTTGTACCCCATGGTCAATCAAGACCCGAACAGCCATGAGTGCAGCTCCACCACTGGCCATTTGTGGGTCCAATAGCATGACCATGGAGTGATCTTCAATTCCTGGCTGAACTTTCAGGTAGTGAAGTTCTGGCTCTTGGCTGTTCTCGTTTGTCTGGATCAAAAGCCGACCAGTGATGCAATCCGGGATGGTTCGCTTCAAGGCTGTTTCCAGACAAGAGCCACCGCGTAGAATAGCAACTGCGGACACGATGCCGTTGGGATTCAGTCCCTGGTACTTGTTACCCTGGGGAGTCTCCACAGTGGTCGGCGTATATGGCGACATGTCTAGGGCCCTAGAGAATTACACGATACAAGATTAGCAAAGTCCCAACAACAAGGAAGTGAAAACATACTTTTCAATCAAGATCGAGGCGAGTCTGTCAAAGTAAAAGACAAAGTCGTCCTGCTGGGTTTCGGGAGTTTGCAGGATGGTGTTCATGCCCACGAATTGGGGCGTCGAGGACATCACATGTACGTTCGGTGGCAGTTCAACCTTGGCGGCGATAAGTCCGAGATTACGAAGAACCTCCTTGTGCTGTTCAGACTTCTCTTCGAGCTTACGTTGGATATGCTTGACGACCATATCTGAGGAGAGTTAGGGTGAGAGCCGGAGTTGGAAGGGTGTCACGAGACCACCTACCGATAGCAGTCAAGTTCTCAATTCCACGAGGGATGATGATATCTGGGGGTGCCATTAGCTTTTTACAATTTGAAAGGAAATAAAATCATTCCAATCATACCCGAAACCTGCCGTTGAGCGTCCACGTATTTGGTGTATGAAGGCTTCACAAATGCGAACCACTGTTTGATGATGCCCTCGATATCACGACCTCGATCGCGGACATCGCGGAGAACTACATTCGTCTCAAGGTTAGTTCTATTTATGAGAGATACAGCGTGGAGCACCTACTGCGGCGGCCCAAGCAGACGTCCATATCGGCTTCGACGAATATCTAAGTGGGGTAAGTTTAGTCAAGACTCAACCGCGAAAATAAGCAGCTAAACACACCTTGACATCAAGGAGGTCGACGATGCGGGGGTCGTGCAGCGCCAGAATACCGTCAAAGACAATGACACGCGGGGAATAGAGAGTTGTCGTCTGAGGTTGACGCTGGTGCTCTGCAAAGGAGTACACTGGGATGTGGGCTTTCTTGCTGTCAAATAGATTCTGGTCAGATCAACCAGCACAAAATCATTCTTCTTGACAGCAGATACACCACCCTACAACTCACCCCTGCTTCAAGTCTTTGAGGGTATCGACCAGAACATCAAAATCAAATGCGTCTGGACAGTCGAAATCATATTGATTTGCATGAGCTTGGCGGTGTTCCTCGGGACTCAACGATTTGTAGAAGGAATCCTGCAACTACATGTTAGAGATGCAATTTTCTCCCTCTAGACTTTGTAGGTCATACCAGCGACAAAATTACAACCCAAGGCAAATTCAGAGACTTGACAATCTCCATAGCGACCGAGGTTTTACCCGAGCCCGAGCAACCAGCGATACCGATGATGCTCAGATCCTGCCATGGTGGCGAGTAGTTCACCCCCTGGGTGAGAGAATGAAAGGGAGAAATCGATTCCATGGCCCCTGTTCTTTGTTCACGCCAGGAGACACACTGGGGCACACTGGAACGCAAACTTGTTGTCTCTCGAGGGCGAGGAGTGGTAGATTGGATTGGGCTTAGCGCGGGATCCGTTCGCTTGCGAATGACTAAGCAGAAGTCACTTTTCACTTTTTCTGCACCCGCGGGAGCTTCCAACTTTTCTCTTCTTCTTCTTCATCTCTTCCAGCTTCAGATCATTTCCTACTTCCAGCGTTCAGCCTTTTCTCCATGGCCGTCGTCTCTTGGGCCGCTCTTGAGCTTCACGGATAGCTTCTACATTCTCGCAGCTAGCTGTTTCCTCAGCAATGTCTGCTAATCTTGTATGAATGCCCGGCGTGTCTTCTCGCTCGTGGTTATTTTTGGTTTAACAAACCGCACAGATGTCTCGCACTCCCTCGACGGCTACGCCACCATGGCACCAGTTCGAGCGGAAGGTTGACGAGGTCAAGCCATCCAAGACGTGAGTCGCCTTCCTCCGGCATATCCTTTCACCTCCCCCTCTACACTCGACCACTCGGTTGCCCTGAGTCGGTCTGCCCTTGATATGATGCATCTTGAAAATCAAGTTGGGAATCTCTCTGAAAATCGCTGAGGAGAAACTATTGACTTGTCTATCTGAACTGCTTGCCCATTCTCATCTTATTGTCATATCACACATGCTTTGGCAAACAGTTTGCTAATAGTGAACTGCAGTGACATTAACTATCTGGTTATGGACTACCTCATCACCAACGGATACCCCAGTGCTGCGAAGAAATTTGCGATCGAGGCCAATGTCCAACTCCAGACGGATCTTGATTCGATCCAGGAACGGGTTGAGATACGGACTGCCATCCACTCGGGTAATATCCAGCTGGCGATTGAGAAGATCAATGAACTGAACCCTCAGGTAAGACTTTCCTCCCTTTCCACTTGCACCGTCAACCATTCCCGCCATTTCCCCCATCTTGCTATGATTATAATGTTTCATGCACCACTCCTACACACCCTCCGGGAGTTGGGGAAAAACAAACATCTTCAGTCCTCAGTATGAGCAAAATTCACATCTCAAATTTTCACCAAAGCACATTGCAAATTTTTTTCCAAAGTGCCAAGGCTAACGAGATGAATCAGATCCTGGATGAAAATCAATCCCTCCACTTCGCCCTTCTGCGCCTGCAGTTGATTGAACTAATCCGCACCTGCACCTCCACTCCCAACGGCGACATCAGCCCAGCCCTGGAGTTTGCGACGTCGCAACTAGCCCCGCGAGCTCCAACCAATCCACAGTTCCTAGAGGACTTGGAGCGGACTCTCGCACTCCTGATCTTCCCCAGTGACAACCTGGCACCCGGTCTTGCCTCCCTCCTTGACCCAGCTCTACGTAAGGACATCGCGACGCGAGTCAACGAGGCAATTCTCGAGAACCAAGGCGCTCGTAAAGAGGCACGCCTGCGTGGCCTGGTTAAGCTCCGCGCTTTCGCAGAGAACAAAGCTCGCGAGACTAAGAAGGATATCCCTGATAAACTGGATATCGGTCTGATCAACGAGACTCACGACAGTACCCGTAATTCCAATGCCAATAATGGTACTAGCAATGGAGCTAGTGACGCTGTCATGTCAAACAATGGCGACGTTGACCCTATGATCTCATGATGATCTTTGATTTCTCCGTCTTACTGTGGCCTGCCCAGGTCGGCTAGGCTTTGCTCTCTCGATTTTTTTCTTCTTTCTAACTGCACAGCTGGCTTCTGCTTGTGGATTTTTAGCGAGGCGCTAGGGGTACGAACATTGTTTCTTTGATGGAGTTCTAAAGGGGTTTACCTTTCTACTTCTAATACATTTCTGATGCACAGTCATCTGTGATTTTACACATCTTTCCCAAAGTAAATTGCCATGCATTCGTAGCTCTCTTGAAAAACCGAAAGTCCTTTGCTGTCGCCCAGCCGGAGCGAATCATCGACCCAGACCTTACTCTCTTCATCCAGTGGTCAAGCGCCTGAAATGATCCCTCCTGGTCAGAGTCGAGCACTGTTCAATGTCAACAGCCGTCTGCCTACGTAGTATCTGCAATACTCCTTGACCGAGCGACACCTACTAGTACCTATCTACGCATCCTATTAAGCATAATGTTTCCAATATTCGGATACAAGCCAAGTTATACGAGTAGTGTTTTCAATCTGCTCTGTATTCAAGCCAGCAGCCATGTCATCTCATGTAGCCAACGAACGAATGTAAGCAAATCCAATCCGATGAAATATGCATGCGCAGTCGAGACAAATGGAAGATTTTAAAAGGAGAAGCTGATGATGCGTACTAGTATAGGCAGACACAGTACACAGAAAAAAAAAAGCTAACAAACGGCAGCGAATCCACCATGAGCCCTGGAGTCAGTTCAGTTCAGTTTGGTCCGATCCGATCCTCCATGGATGCAAGATACAATGGTAGCAGTACTCAAGGCCAAAAATGACATCTAAGCCAGCGAAAACGGTATAAATGGAAGAATAAATGGGAAAAAAAGAAATAGAAAGTCGTTTCAAAGCCTCAAGCTCGATATGAGAGAAAAAAACAAAGGGAAATACAACAGGGCACCCATCACATCCATGGGTACAAGATCAATGTATGAAGTTAGATTTAGAAGCTCATGAGGTCTGATAAAAGAATCGTTAGTCAAATCGAAACTCACATTACCCCCGGGATAGGGGAAGGAGAAACATACCTCTTCCAAAGAAAGCCCGTTTAGCCCAATCCATAGCCAACATACAACGAGTCCGGAAGCTAACACTCTCAGCAAAGTAAATACTGCGCCAGAGATACATGGCAATAACACCACCGCTAAAGCTCATCCCGCCGAAATCAAAGATAGCCGCATTACTAATATAAGCCAAGCTTCCGAGATGTCTATACTTGAAAGCGCGGTAGACCGCCTCATCAAGGTCACCGTAGTCAATCTGATTAGCCTTAAGACCGGGCAAGGCCGCGGCGATCTTGCTCAACTTCTGTCCCAGATACACGCCCTGCTGGTTAGCGCGCTGGGCGGTCGCAGGAGGGGAGGTGAGCTTTGTGTCGATTTGGTGGAGGAGTTCGGAGAGTTCGCCGTAGTCTCAGGGTGCCGGAGTGGTCTATGTCGTATTGCATGAAGAGGCGGTCCAGACGGCGGAGATGGTTGGTTGCTTGGGGAAACGGCGCTTCACTCTGTTTGCGACGTCGGTCCATTCGGAGAAGGTTAGGTGCACCTTTTCGGGGTTTTGGCCTTTCTCCCAGGCGATTGTGCGGAGGAAGCGGATGATGTTTTCGGCGAGGTTGTTTTGAACGGTGGAGCAGTCGCCGATGGCGTAGACGTCGCCGAGCGGTGCGCCGATTATGCGGAGGTGGGAGTCGGTTTCGATGGCGTGTTTGTTGTTTTGGCCTTCTAGTTTCTTTGAGAGAGTTTCGCAGATTTCGGCGCGGGCTTGGGGATGTGTTAGTATTGTGCGTAGTTCGTTAATGGGTTGGTCTGGTCGTAGCACTTACCAACACCAGTTGACCATAAGCAGAATCCAGTAGGAATTTCCTTGACAATAGTCTTTCCATCCTCAACCTGGCTGAAGAGAACCTTATCCGGTTGCACTTCCTTGACACGGGCATTGGTCAGAACCTCAACACCATCACGAGTAAAGCGACCCTCAGCGTATTTGGACAGAGCCTCATCATAAGTATTCAGGATATGAGTCCGGCTCTGAATAATATGAACAGAGATCTCATTCCGAACAATACGCGGGAAAGAGTACAGGAGGTCCTCATTCAGCAGGTCGAACAATTCAGCTGCGAATTCAACACCGGTAGGTCCGCCACCACAAATCACAAAGGAGAGCAGTCGACGACGCTCCGCATCAGTCGTAGTGGGCAGACAAGCCAATTCCATATTTTCCAGAACCTTATTCTTAATCTGGCGCGCATCGTCAATAGTCTTCAGAAAATTGCAATTCTCCAGACCCTTGACACCATGAGGATTCGTCACGCAGCCAACGCCAACAACAAGCTTGTCGTACGGCAGATAGAAGCTCTTCTGCTGACCGTCCCTTCCAACCTGCGAAACCTCGACCAATTTCTCAGAGAAATGCACATCCGTCGCAGAAGCCTTGAGGAAATGACCATTAACACGCTCGATAATCCGACGAACAGGTTCAACCAGCGATCGAAGACCCAATGTGCCCACCGTAGCGGACGGCAGCATCGGCGTAAAGAGGAAGTAATTCGTCGGCGAAACAACAGTAACGTGGTAATCTCCAGGATTCAAGTTTTTCAGCAAAGCAATACTGCCCCAACCCGTTCCGAGAATCACAAGACGTGGTTTATCCTTTTGTTCCAGCATCGATTCCGAGTCGTAGTCGCCGACCAGGAAATCCGCTATCGGGAGGTTCTTCGGTCCGCCGCGGCGCGGGTTCAGGGCTAATTCCGAGATAGGGATATCCTCCGCAGTAGACGATTCGCGATAGGTGCTAGCATCGTAGATGAAGAATCCGGCGACAATTACTCCGGAAGTGATGACGAAGAAACCGCAGAACGTGAAGACCTTGGACAATATCCGAGCAGCGCGGGATCGGGCCTTGGGAGGGACGGCAGCAGCAGCAGCATCGGCTGCGGCAGTAGTGGTGGCAGATGCAGATGTAGACGCATCGTCGGATTTGAATCGGATTGGAATGGCGACTTTCGAGACCGGGGTGAAAAATGCATTTCGTTGTTGATGTTGCTGTTGCAGCGGAAGGCGGCGGGTGGTGGTTTGCAAGGATCGCGAGAGCGGGATAATCCTGGCTGTCAATGGCTGTTTGGGGGCATTCACTCTAGCTGAGAATTCCCCAATCGCCTTCAGCGCGGGGCCGCCCGGTCGAATCCGAAACAACGCCGCGCTCATGCTGGGCAGCAGGAAGTACCGTCTATCTGAAGGAGCTGTTGCTGTCGCTGCAGCTGCAGCTGGAGCTGGAGCCCGGGGAGATCAACGTATGCCAAGGAAAGATAAGGCAGATCTCACAGCGGAGCCCTATACATATGAAGCGAACGACCTCAGAACGCAATGGACGTATGTAAAGACAAAAGGTACAAGAGAGAGTACGTGGAAGAGGAAAAAGATGGTCCAGATGCCAGGAACATCGCGGACATTCGCGGCGCCAACTCAGTCGACGTCATGTTGGCAATCACGTGGGCCGGAAACCGGCACGCCCGAAAGCAGCCCTAAACAGAAAACAGCGTCGGTGAGGAAGATAAGGAGAACGGGACTAAACACTCCGTAGACTGGTGATATTCGTGATATTCGTGATGGGTATGGTAGTATTTAAGGGTAAAGGTGATATTGATTCTTTCTATTATATACATCAAACGGAAGATAAGGTGAAGCTCGAGGAAATCCGGCCTAGCAGCCCCACACAAGCAAAGAAGCAAGAGAACCGCCCCGACAGCGCCGCATGATGCATAACATGAATCGGAGAAGAAAAGAAGAGAGAAAAAAAAAGAAAACGAAAAAAAATAGGACGATGTATCACATCAACCAGCCACCCGTCTTAAAGATCCTCATAAATACCATCATGTAAAATAAAAAGAGAAAGGAAATAAAGAAAAGAAAAGTCAACGCCAGCCTCGCCTGATATGCAATTAAAACAGAAAGAGAAAATGTATGACCTCCATGCTCCAGGAAAAAAGAAGAAAAAAAGGGAATTTAGATCGCACCGATCATTTCATCGAAGACTCCATATTCGATCCATTCATTAATCCCAAGGTTCATCGGGCTCATGGCTAGACCTCTTCTTGCCAACAGAGTCCTTACGACTCTTCGGCCGCTTATTGAATCCAGTACTGGAGACAGAGCTCTTGCGCTTCGGAGGTCGGGCCCCACCAGGAGTAGCCAGCATATCGTCGACTTCACCGATAGCGTCCAAGTCCCCGTCAGCATCATCACCACGGTCCACCTTGAACTCCTCGTCAATGGCGAGCAGAGTCGAAAATTCACGGCACTTGGCCAGCATAGATTCTTGACTGTCCAGTGCGGCCATGTTTCGGGTGATGGCTTCCCAGAATCTGTCACCCGTGACTCCGTGGGCCTTGTTCGCGGGCTTGTTGAGTTCTTTCGCGGCAGGCTTGCCTTCTTTGTCTTTCGTATGAGAGCTGACATTGTAAAGGCGCCGCAGGTAGGTTCGTGCTTCCCAAAGCATCAGGAGGGAGGCAGCGGCAGTTGCTAATACCCTTAGCGTAGCAGGGTCAACCTGTTGAGGCATAGCCGTCGGCATTGGCGTCTCCGTAGCAAGACCCACCATGCCGGCTGGAGTCTCAATCATTGGGGGCCCGATGGGGCTGGGGAAAATGTCCATTTCGATGGCATGAGCAACGACGGTCCCGGTAGACGAAACGATGCGCTCTATGGCTGCGATGGTGGGCACCAATTCGGCCAATTGAGCGTAATCGAAGTATGCCAGGTTTTGAGAGATAAAGCGGGATAGCAGGAGATGCTCTGGTGGGTCTCCACTAGTGTCGAGTTTCTTCAACTCAAAGTCGACCTTGGAACACAAGTTCGAGAGAAATTTCTTCTGGTACTTGCTATTGCTGATTTTAACGATGTCAAAGAGCGGGGCTAGCTTTGCCACATAGGGTCTGGGGGTTGCACCATTGGAGTCGCCAACGATATCACGCTGGTAGTAGAATGCTTCTTGGATAGCACGCATGTACTCTCGTTCGAACATCGATTCGTACTGCGAGTGCAGCATTTTGTGAGTATCAAATGCTACCTTGGCGATAGCCGGCACAGTCGAGGTCTCCAACGAGACAAGCACCCCTGCACATTCCTTTGGATGCACAAGTCCCTGTCGATTGATGCTGGCAATGAGTTCAATGGCAGTTAGAGCGTAAGTATCTTGTCGTGACTGTGCCACTTTGAGCATGTCTTTCAAGAAGTGTTGAGCAATCAGTGCAGCAGCCCCGTCGTTGTCGCTAGCTTTTAGTGACCCGCCCAATCGAGTAGAATCCTCCTTGGCAGCGGTCTCGGCGGCTGGCATAACCGACTTCTCGGACCTGCCTTCGTGAATGGCAAAGAAATCCGCAAACGAACGAAGCACAATGTTGTGTAGGCCAGGAGCATCCTCCTTAAATACTTGAGCAAAGGTCTTTCGACTTGGCTCTCGGCCAAACTGACCAGGCCAAGATTGGCATATAGAACCCAAGCTCTCGAGACTCATGACTCGCAGCTCAAAGGGCTGGTAGAAAAGGGTGAAAGGGAGAATGAAGTCGACCATGATATCAGCCACGGTACGTCCGGTCGAAGTCGGGAAAGATTTCTTGAAGTGGTTGAAGTATTCTTCAAGATCACAGTGTCGCCCCACGCAGCCCGCAATTCGAATATAACTCTTGGCTCGAGCCAAGATTCCGGCATTTTTCTCCGTTGACAAGTCCTTTATTCCCTTGTACTCTTGCAATGGCTTCAGAACCGACACCGTCAGTTTGACCAATCGATCAGTGTTTTGCAGGACGCTATTGATAGTCCAGAGACATGCCATAACTTCGTTCAGCTCAGCGCGGGCAAGCTTGGCCACACTCTTGAAAAGGTCATTCTGGACTTCCTTGAGAAGAGTGTTATGCGCTGAAGAGAGGTGCGGCAAGACACAGCGATATATGACCACAACCGATCGGAAGATGAAAAGATCGTCTGCCGTCGCAAGATGGCCAATGTAGGGATGCAATGCCTCTAACTGATCGGGACTGAACAGTTTCGCATTTGCCTTCGCAAAGACGGTGATTGTCTGGAGGAGGGCCTGCTGGAACTCCTTGCCCGAGGCATCTGCATCTTCGACGAGTCGCTGAAACATGATTGCGACCATGGATTTGCAAACCTTGAAGTTCAAAGATGCCGACTTGGATTTATCGGAGAGCACAGCTCGCAAACAGGTGCTGAGGGAGTCGAGAGCAGAATCGCTGCGCTGAACAAGGCTCACAATCAAGCCCACCTGCTCTCCAAGAGCCAGCTTCAATTTCGGCCCATCGGAGGTAGAGTCAATTGATTCGTGGAATGGAACCAGCCAAATCTCCTCGAATGTTTGACGTGCCAAGGTCGCCACACTCTCTTCATGATCACCAGTACGCTGGAGAAAACTGTCGAGGATAGCCAGCTTCAGCTCATGGCGGGTGGTTTTGTGATAACGATCCTTCAAAAGTCCGATGCAGCGTTTCCGCACACCGGCAGTTTGGTCGGTGGCGCAGGCAAGGATGCTTCGGCACCCTTCTTCTTCCAGCTTTGGTTTGAGCCCAATACATTTGGCAATCAAAGACAACGCAGAGTCTCGAACCATAGGCGAAGCATCCGTCGTGCAGCGAAGAATGACTCGCATGACTGAAGTATCTCGATCAAGTAGATTTGGATCCTTTTCAAGCATGTAAATAACACTCTTCAAACTTCGGCTCCGAACCTTGGCCTGGTCGCTAGCAATTGAGTTCAGCAGCACTTTCAAGATCGTGTCAAATGCCTTGCCAAAGCTTGAGGTCAAGACGGTGAGAATGTAGGCAAATCTGCCTTGGACATTCGTAATGGAATCAAATTGTTTGTGGGTTTCCATCCATCGTGAATCGGAGAATGATTTAGAAAGGAGGGATACCAGTTCATCAGTCGTTTCGTCGTGTGCCAATTCCTCATTATCCTCGGCGTTGTAATAGAGCGTGCAGACAGTTTTGGCCCACTGGGCCAGGTAGAAGCCCCGTGCACTCGTGAGCTGGGAATAGTCGGAATTTTTAGTTTGAGCAAGATATTCAAGTACCATCCTATGGGGTCCGTTTGGAGCAACAAGATCTTGTGGATGAAGGGCGCGAGAAGCAAAGTCCTCAAATTGTTGTTTGAGGTAATCGGTAAGCTCGTTCTCAGAATCGTCCAAGGCAGGAAGCATATGCTGAGCCGTGGCCATGAGGTCGGAAATTGCGGAACCCATCCACCCCAACAGTTCGAGGGCCATACTTTTGGCCGTGGCTGGACTTTTGTCAAGATCTGCGATGCCAACCATGTGTGACGCCATGATGCGTAGAAGTAGCTCAGCAGCCGGCCAGTCAGTTGATCCAAGAACGTTGATCAAATCCTCGGTAAAAAGATCAAGAATGTTGCGGTATGGCTGATCGCCGCTTTTTGTTGAGGTCATGGCGCGCTGAACAATGAATTTTATAATGTATTGCGCACTGCGCGAGGCATTATCGTAAAGTCGGTTGACCTTGGCAGCCAAGCGTTCTAGAGATTCGTCGAGGCCATCATCGTCATCATCATCATCAGACACTTCATTTTTGATCCCATTTCCATCACCCATAGATTCGTCATCATCGCCATTGCCGGGTGCTTGGAGCCTTCGTTTGGCCTTGGATGCCCGGGGAACTTCCAAGGCAGTGGTCTGGACGAGCTGAAGGACCAACGCAGTTAGGAGTTGGATATTTTTACCGTCTGCAAGCTTGAACTGTCTAGCACTTTGACGCGTCGAGGGAAGTTTCTCAAGTGAGACGAGAATTTCATCCAATATAAATGGGCGTTGATCCGGGTATCGGGAGAAGATCTTTGCAAGCACATCCATCGCTCCACGCCTTGCAGATTCATACTTTTGAGGACCGACGGCTGAGTCCTTATCGTTATGTGCATTCTCGACGAAGATGAGTTTGGCAGCAAAGAACTCGACAGCCGTGATTGTGCCTTCCGACACTTCAATTCGGGACAAGAAGTCCGCGAAAAGAGTGAGGACCTTCTTGCTTTGGTTGATCAGACTTCCGATGAAGCGTCTATGTGCCGAGAAAAAACCAAAGCGCTCCGCGTCCTTGCCATTAGCTCGTGCTTCGACGGCGGGAATTATGCAATGATCAAAGGCCTGGTTTAATACATTCGGGATGGCCTCGATGAGATCTTCGGGGCAAAGATCACGCTCTGTCTGTCTTCCAGACATTGTCTGCAAGAGAGTGCCAATTGCAAGCATGGCATTCAGCACATCGTCCACCTTGCAGAGCCACTGCTGTGCTTCCGATTCATTGGACGGATCATTTAAGCTCAAATCCGGGGCCTGTGAAGCAATGATGGATTTTTCACACAGTTTCTGGACCCGATTGAGATAGTCGGATGGAATGTCTGGTAATCGGTCGAAGCTAGCCACTTTCCGAATAGCTTTTTGGAGACTACTATGGGCATCGGAAGACAATATCAAGCCATGCACCTCGAGTGCTCTCGTATTCACGAACGTTGGATTCGGTCTGTCAGATGTCGGAGCAACGGTCACCTCCGGATCAATTTGATCCTCGGCCTCGAATACTTCCAGAAGGAGGTCCTGGAGTTTGAGAAGGGCGTCATCAGCCTCGGCCTTTTGATCTCTCAGTCGGATGCCTGACATTTCGACGTCGCCGCGATCCCACTTTTGTTTCACACTGGGCTTTTGGGCGGATTTCTGGGGGGAAGGTTTGACCGGAATCACCACGGAAACTCCACTCGAGGAGAGGTTTGGCGTCGAGGGTGGCGGTTTCGAATTGTTCGGAGTCACTGGCTGCTGATGATTGAAAGTCGGAGTTGTTCTTGGAACGGGGGTCTGGATTTCCGCTTTGACTTTTGGTGAAGATAACTCGGGATCTATATCTGGTCAGTCCGAATTCAACTTCATCTCAAATCAAGTTCCGGCGTGGTTTCGTCTCACATCTGAAGGCTATATCCGTCGAGTCTAGCATCATCCGCGCGAAAGAGCCTAACTGACTGCGTCCCGTCGGAGGGCCATGGGGGGCGCCAGAGTCGAGGGGTTGATGGCGAGTGAGGGCAGGAGGAAGCTTGAACTTGCTGCAGGGAAAGAGGAGGATCGGATTAGCCCAATACGTTCCAACCTTAAGAGGAAAGAGAGAGAGAGAGAGAGAGAGAGAGAGAGAGAGAGAGAGAGCTTACAATTCGGTCAGCTGGTCCCCGTCTAGCAATTGTTGGAGATATTCCCGCGAGGTTTCCAAACGACTCGATTCATCCTGACCCGACTGTATTTCTATATCCAGCTCTTTTAACGTGTTGCGACCCGCTTGAAGCACATGGTTTATAGAGGTGGTCGTCGAGGGTCGACCAACATCCGGACGGATTATACAGTCTACATTCGCGGGAGATTAGTGACCGGATTCTTTGCGCAGGTATAGGTATATTGTGGAGAATTGGAGAGAGGAGGCATTGTTCATTGTTCGGATTGACTGACCGAGACCAAAGACCGGCGCGCTGGACATGGAGGAATACTGTAAGGCCTCATCGACGGAGAGTGGACGGGATTGCGGAATGAAGGCCATATTGGAGGGTTGTGAATGAGGATTAATGACGACCTGAACCTGCGGGCGTCCATTCTGGTCCATGATGAAGGAGAACGGGGCGGGCGCGAAGGTTGGCGTTGGCGCTCCTGTCTTTGTCCGATGAACGTGACCGAGACCGTGACCGTGGATGAATGAGGTGAATAGGGAAGGCGCTAGTTGTAGATGGAAGGGAAGGAACGACTCGACACAGCGACATGGCAGTTGCTGAAAGAGGAAATACTCTACGCCATCGCACTTGCCCTCAACGGAAGTTGAAGTGGGAGTTGAAGTTGAACCTTAGGCAAGCTCCGATGATCATTGGACCTTCCCTTAGGGTACTGTCAGTACTGCCAGTACTGGCATCATTTCCCATCCGCGACGGAGAGACAACTCGGAGATCTGCCGCGTCTGACCGCCGGGGTATCGCAGAGTGGCCCGTGCGATAAAAAAAAGATACTCCATCTCCATCTCCAATCTTTCATGATATTGAATTCGGATCCAGTCAATTCAGGATTTGCTTCTACACCCTTTTACTCACAATGTCCGCTATCGGCTCTCTGATTTTCTGCACGGATTGCGGCAACCTCCTGCGTGAATCCACCGGCAATGCCAATGCCATTCTACACTGTGATGTCTGCGGCGCTCGGAACAAAGGTGGGCTAAGAAGATCTGAAGACCCCATCGCAAAGAGCTTTCCAGTCTAATAATCCCTAGATACCGTGCCTCAAACTGTTGTCTCCGAATCCAAGCCCTCCGCCTTCCCTTCCCCTCTGAGAGCCAAGCGATCCGCCGTGCAAACGCTATCTGCCGAAGATCGCAAGACCGAAGCTATCACCGAGAAAACCTGTGAACGTTGTGGCCGCAAAGAGATGTTCTTCACCACCGTCCAGCTGCGCAGTGCAGATGAAGGTAGTACCGTCTTCTTCCGCTGTGTCTGCGGTTATAAGTATGTCATCTCTCCTACACAACAACCTCCTTTGTTTTAGCTAACCACCCGTCACTGCGCAGGGAAACCCAGAACAACTAAGAAGAAGAAGATCCACGGGAAAGATGTACAAATGTGGGGAAACGGGTCTATGTGTTCGGGCTGTATAACAGAGAGATATCAAAATAACGACGTCACGACTTTTTTTGTTTGTGCTCAATTCATCAATTCATCCAAAATTCTTTTTTATCTTCACCCATCTCGAAAGCTTTGAATCGAAAGCTTCAAATCCTCGTCTCATCTCATCTGCTCTCCTTCATGCCGCAGCGGCAGCAGCTCCCTCCGGAATCAAAGCATATTCAACTTCACCATTCTTCTCAAACTCAGCCATGTCCAGAGCCACAATCACACTATCACGCACGACCTGCTCCGGGTCATTCAAGAACTTCTTCAGCGTATCCTCGACACCCTCCTCGTCACCCAGACTGCCCAGAGCTTCGGCAGCCTCGTGGCGCACCATACCTTCCTCCTTGGTATTGCTCAAGCAGGTGGTCAGGCAAGGAATGGAGGCAGGGTGGCAGAGTTGGCCGAAGACAAAGGCGATCTCGTGGCGGAACAAAGCAGAGGGGTCATTCAGGCCCTTGGCAAGCGCATTGATGGCGTCGACGGCGGTGGGAAGGTCGGGGGGAGAAGCGAGATCGCGGAGACCGAACATCGCGCGGTATCTTTGGAAGAGAGGGAGTTTGGTGTCGAGGAGGGTCTTCTCCAGCTCGGGGATACAGGGCTCATTGGCTTGGAGGGGCATTGGAGGAGCAGGGTCGATGGAGGTGAAATCGCTGTAAGGAAATAGAAGTATTAGTTAAATCTGAAAAGCACTGCATGGCATTCCTTCCCTCCTTGTCCCGTAGAAGAGACAAGTAAGGCTCTCATCAAGAGATCGATCATACCTGGGCTTCAACTTCTCAGCCTTGCGCTCCTCGGAGTTCTCCCAGACAATACGGTCAACAGCAATATCGCAAGTCTCCCGGATAATCTCCAATTCATTCTCATCGTCGCGCAGCTTCTTCAGAAGGTCCAGACTATCATCGTAGCCAAGGGCGCCGAGAGCCTCGGCGGCTTCGTGACGGCACATCGCATCCTCCTCGACATCCTTGACAACATGCTGCAGGTACGAGACCGAATCGCGGTTGAGAGTCTGGCCAAGGCAGTAGGCCAGTTCGTGCTTCAACAGTGCGGATTTTGATGCGAAACCGGCGGCGATCGCTTGGATAGCGGGGAGGGTTTGCTCGGTAGGAGGCTGGAGGCAAGCGACGTGCTTGAGGGAGAAGAGGGCTCGGAAACGGCGAGCAAGAGGCTCTGATTCGGAGACGAGGACTTTGCGGAGGGTCAGGACCGTCTGGTCGACGGTTTCGGATTCAGTGGCAGCGGGCGCCATTTTGGGGGTATCAATAGAATAGAGAATAGAGAAAGAAAAGGAACAAAAACGGAAGGGAAGAGGAGGGAAGGGAATGAGAGTGGAATAATGAGGGGTGGATATGAAAAAGTTGGAGGGAAGATCTTATCATCGATTTTTAGAGTGGGGTCACCCAGGGCGGCGGGGCGGACGATTCGGTTGGTGTTGATCCGCGTGGACTAGTACTACTACTGCTTAGTACCTACAGGGTCTCTTAGGTGCTTCCTTCATGGAACAGAGCTGTTTGCTACCTATCAATCAATCATGAATTTATGCTTCATTGCTTCATGCCTTTTCAATCGCCGCCTCAGTAACCTTCTCAACCCTTGCCCCCAGATTTTGGTTAATGCGAGAAAAGAGAGCTACTTCCAATTAGGACTCTGGTGAGTAGAAAAATAAAAATAAAAAATTCCCAAGATACTAGTAGCTGCAGAAAGACCATTACGGCGCTCTGTAGGCGGAGGGTGGTCAGTAGTTGTACGGAGTACTAGTATACAGAGGTATTTTACAGTAGTGTTGCAAAAGTTTCTAACATCTTATTGCCCACTATTTTTGACTGCCTTCTAATGATAGACTAGTAGCTACCTAAGGTGGAATAAAGTAGCCAACCTATTCTATTTTGGGTAGTTACTAGTAGTTCACCTTAGGAACGTGGAGACCAGGCTGGTCAACAAGGGCTTGGAAACTTTATAAAATACCTATGTATACAACTACTGACCCCCCCTGCGCTTATCGAGCGCCGTACGTATGTGTCTACAAGAATTTCATCATTTCAACGTAAGTTTTTCAAGTCGATTATTTCATTACATTGAGGAAGGGGGGGGGGGGTGACTTACTACTAGTATTATATCTATCACTCCTTCCCACCTTCCCTTCAATATTCCCCTCCCTCGCCCCAATACCTTCTCGTAATTCTTCTTCTACATCCACATCCACATCCACTTCTGCTTCTAATCATTATCTTTCATCCTCTCGTTGACATCCTTTTCCATCTCCGGGGAGCTAGTTGACTCCTAGAGTATTTCCTACTCACTCGGAGACCATGACATTCATTTTCCCTTGTCTACTTTAATCGCTACTGAGGTTGATGGATTCTGCAGCCGCGGACATAATGCAGACCTAACCCCTGGACCTCCACGCGAGGCACGACCAGTGCTCTAGGATATCACGAATATCCAACATACTGACTCGCGGGTTGCAATGCCCCCTCCTCGCCGCGGAACAAAGCCTTTCTTCTACGAAAGAACCAAGAGCTTCGAGTATATCCCAAAAGAAGATTTACAGAATGTGGTTGCATAATTTCAAAAAGCCGAAATGCCAATAAGCTCAGCGGCATCGGCGCATAAGAAAACGGTCATCGAAAGCTGGAAAAGCTTCCTGTGATGCCAAAATTCTGAGTTTGTGGAACCCCCTTTGATCTTTTTTCTGTATATACTAACATAGTCCAGCACAACTATCGAACCAACTTTTGGGTTGCTGCATGGATGGGTTACGGAGTCGATCCGGATCAGTTATGGCCAGAATGCTGGCCCCCAACTTTGTGCATCCACAGTTATGGATGATTTCTGCGCACTCAGCAGATATTTGCATTAAATACTCCCGCACAGCATGTCAAAAAGTTCCAAGAAGTTCTTCTAAAGAAACTCAAGAAAAAAAAATATTCGCGAAGATCCGGGACGAAAGGGCAGCCGGGAAACTCAAGCCTCCGGGCCTTCAGTTTTGCAACAGGATTAAAGCATCGATAATCCGGGGCATGCTTGAGCGAGACCTTCCCGACAGAATTCGAAAGAAACCATTCTCACGAGTCTTAAATGCGTTCCCTGACAGCGCCGACCGGTCAAGTCCCTCCAATACCGCCAGAGAACTTCCAGTTTTCCTATGTCCAGTGACATAAGGTTTTGATTAATGCAATTCGAACCGAACAGCTTCCCTATATCCCACTCAGTGTGATTCTTCAGCAGATACTACACGATGAGAAACGTCAGCTTCGCTGGCTTTTTCCAGACCATCCACTTCTAGCTAGGCTCAACGGCAGAGGGAGAAGTCTGAACCTTAACCGGGACCAGTTCCTTATACAAGGAACTTACGTTGCCTACTTGAAGAAACTCACCGAACGATCTGAACTCCAAATCATAGATCCCTCCAGCCACGATGTCCGGCGAGGTAGTTGCGAGGATTTGCTGATGCTTCCGCAAGAGTCGATTTTATTGGTTTCTCGGGAGTTGTTCTGAATAATGGCCAATCATTCTCGAACATTCGAGCATGGTATCACAGATGATTATATTGGCAATATACTTGTGGAAATATGGATTCATCGAGTCAAGGTTAATCGACATGATGCAAATGAGCCATATTTCAACTCTGACCCGGCTATACCGATCGACATCCAGGACCCAGGTCTCAACATACAAGGACTTGAAGCATCCGAGAGCTTTGTCACGGACCCAGATCCTCTACAGCAACAACCCACAGGGCCTTGGGCCCCAGCTTCAGCATCTTCCTCATCAGGAAATCTATTGTCTACAGATTTGGTCACTGCCATTGACGTATCGCAGCCCTAGTCTTAGGCACAGGCATCACCTGCAGTACAGCAAGACCATTCTACTTTATCCCAGCTTCCACCTGCCGTATCTTCTATACTGTCGCTCAAAGTATATCAGAACTTGACCACAAGCCCCGAATTACTGCCAGAACATCATCCAGGTCCTGGAATCCAGCCTCGGTGCTCTTCAGAGGCACTGAGGCTTTTCTTAACTTCTTTGTTAAGATCAAGAACACTTCCCCTAAGCGAGTTCCCTCCAAGCAAGCTACCCCAAGCTAGCTCCCAAACGAACCTTACAGATTCCCACACCAACCACACCAGCATTCTCGACATCTACATCACTTTCATCATCAACATACCCAGTCCTCTCATCGTCTCCGAATTTCTCTCCAGCATACCCCATATCGTCCCCGGCGGTTCCAATTTCATCTCCAATGGTTCCCATGTCAACTCCGACAGTCTCGACACCTTTATCCGGCAGATCACCCATTTCTGGAACATAATTTGGTGGACCAAATGTCCCCTAATGGAGGACATCAATGCGATGAGCTTACATGTCGTCATTGGTTCAAAACTACACGAGAACTCAGCGTACATTATATGACAGAACATCTGGACATACAGACGAACCCATAGGCAATGGAAACTCTCGTCATCTCTGCGATGTTCTTACACCCCGGGTCTATCTGAGACCCCATCTATTCAGCAGCCTGAATCAAACTTTCGAAGTTGAGGTTCACACAGTCTGCAATTATACTAAATTCCTATCCATCTGGATCTTTGACCCTGTTCTCCGTGGTGCTCTACTATACTCTAAAGCCGGGATTATATAGCTTTATTTATCTTGAATATTCTTCAGTTCCTCGTTCTTCTTGTAACCTGTAAAAGAAATAGAACTTTGTTGAGAAAGCTGGCTGGCGTGATATCGGAGCAATCAACTGTTGTTTCAAATTCCCCATATGCTCTGTGCATGGTGGTCTAAAATACCGCGAAAGTCCGGAAATCCAACCGAAACGCTGCCAGTAGGTGCTGATGGCGGACGATCATCACGGTGGTTTATGAACATATATACCTAGGTAGATAAAATGATACAATCCTCTTGGAGTATAGGAATTTCATGACAGCAAACTTGAATATTTCTTGCCCAACTGTACTGCATTCCCTACATCAATCCAGCATAAGTCTGACCCTCCTCTTCAAGTTCCTCATCCTCATGCAAGTAATTCTTCATTTTATCCCTCTCACTTTCCTTCTTCGTTCCATCCTCCGAGTCTTTATGATAATCTTCCTGGTTATCGCGATCTTCATGATGATCCTTCATTGTCTCTTCGGTCTGTTTCCCCATGTGGTGATGGAGGATTCGGTCGAAGAAGCCCTCGTGTTCATGGGGCGGAGGAGCTTTGGACTCTGCAAATAGTTGGCATTTGGAACTGAATCCAATAAGGGGGCAGACCAATCTTGTGGGAGCAGTGACTCACGGTCGGACATATTGTCTACTGTGCTCACTTATTAATTTTGTTGAAAGAGGGATGATTTTATCGGATTGTTTTTGGTAGTATTGTGCAATTGCTTCGAAAAAAGGAGGTTGTAGCTTCCGCAGCGCAGCAGTTAAATATTCGGAGGAAATAGTGGAATGTCTATGTCATTTCAAGGTTTTATAATGGACAATGGGGATGTGAAGGGGCGACTTTATTGTCATAGGCTACCGAGCTGGTGAGCGCATCATCGACCATATCTCGTTGTCGTGGGGCTCGGGAACGACGAAAGTTAACCGTGTGTTGTGTTCTATTGGAATATGGTTTAGTGTGCTAAAATGGTATTTTCGATCCTTGGAGGGATTTATGTCTAGTAGTATCTCTAGTAAAGATCCATGGATGACAAAGGCAGATCTGGAGAGCTGATGGATTTCGAGTCGGATTTCCAAAAAAGGTAAGAAACTATACTATCCAATGCGATCTGGTCGTCGAAACGAATAAAAGCCGAACTGACTACTAGTAATTTGCATATGTTCAGAGGCAGAACTAGAGTCAACGATTCCCTAGGCATAACCTTGTTAACTAAATGCAGAGGACACAATTGTGTCGTACCCAGAACAGCCGAGATCTGCCCTCGGCACTAATCAACCCCCCACAAGAACAAGACGTGTTCAGGTTTGAAGGCATGAGTTACGTGCTTTGAATGAATCTGATTTTGATCAAAGGAAAAGAGAAAATTCGCAATAAATATGTACATGATACATCGAGAACACAATCATTTGGTCTTGATGTGCTTGAGCTTCCTGTTCTCGTAAAGGAAGTTGTTGGCATAAGCCTTGGGGACGAAGCGGCGCTCATTCGGCTCTTGAACGAAGTATTCGTATCCCTGCTTCTGGGCAAAAGCAATGGCATCCTCCTTAGAGTTGAACTTGATGTTGGTGCCCTGCATGCCATCGGCGGACGACTGCCATCCCATCAGCGGGTTCTCCCAGCGGTGACCCCTCTGCAGGATATCCCAGTCCATGCGCCAGTGGTGAGAGTGCCAGGTACCGGATTGAGAAGCGGGCTTCGCGGGGCGGTAGATGCTGTGCGGACTGTTAGCTTGTGGGCTATATATGTGCCTGCGTCGGCCAATTTAAAGGATTGCATACCGGACAGTGCGGGCCTGGAGATCGGTAGGAGCGCCGGAAAGGACAGCGGCTGGCAGAGTGGTGCCGGGCTCACTGCCATCCATCACGCGCTTGGGAACCGGGGAGTATTGTCTGCGTAAAAGAAGGATGGTGGTTAGCCAAAGGGTTTTGCGCTCGGGGTTGGACTCGGGTTCGGGACCAATGGTGAAAATACGTACGAGGTACCGTGATCGATAGTAGCCTCATAATCGGGCTGGTGACGAGCCAGAGCCTGGGAGGGAGTCTGCTTGTTGATCAAGGTGTCGCCGTGCTTGGTGGTGGTAGGAACATCGGCGTGGCTGGTCTTGACCTGGTCGGAAGGGCCGGAGACGAAACGGGCATTGACGGGAGCAGCCAGACGAGTCGCACCGAGGCGAACGGCGCCACCAACTCGAAGGAGCGACATTGTAGACGGAGGGGTGAAGGAGTGGGGAGTGGAGGATGAGCAACTCAGGCAACTCAGGTGCTGCCACTCGTATGGAGGAAGGTGCGAAGTTCCTCCATACGGCACTATCCGAAAGTGGCTTAGCGTGGCTTGGCGACAAGGCCATCCCGACTTCCCGAGTAACTCACGCTTCTCTCCCTCCTCCATCGTCAGTCGTTCCCCGGTTCCTATCACTTTGCGAATCGCCGTACGTTCCCTCCCGACCTTATCCCGACATTCTCTGCCGCGAGCTGCGTTCATTGCGACCAAATTTCTGACCTCTTCCAGTCCCGACAAGATGAGCTACATCGCCCGCCGTGGTCTTTCGACCCTGATCCCTCCCAAGGTACGACCACCTCGAATTGAAGTCTAGAATGACTATCGCTGGAAGGATCCATGATGCTAACAATTTGGATAGATCGCCTCTCCCAACGTGAGTTAGCCGGATACCTTCGCCCCCTCTGAACGCTCTTAATCGCGCCCCTCCCTGGCCCCGTCCCTTCCCGAAGGCTTTTTCGTGTCGTCTCGAAGCATCATATACCGCCCACGCACACTTGAACGATCGCTAACATATATCTACCTTCAAGGCCATCGGTGCTGCCCAGGATGCTGCCCGCATGGAGCGTGTTGTGAACTTCTACGCCGGTCTCCCCCGTGGCCCTGCTCCCCAGGTCAAGGCCACCGGTCTCATCGGTCGCTACAAGGCCCGCTACTTCGACCAGAACTCCGGTGTCCGTAAGTGTTGACGGCTCAATCTTGAAAACGACAGACCTACAGATATTGATTGTCACTAGCCATCGTTCACGCCATCGCCGGTATCCTGATCCTCGGCTACAGCATGGAGTACTACTTCCACCTCCGTGAGTGCCACCTTGATAGTTGGGTTGTCTATTGTTTCAACCAGCAAGTGCTAACTGAGAGATATCCAAGGCCACCACAAGAACCACCCCCACTAAACTGATTTCCTTTGATTTATTGGGAAGGGGACGATTGATTTGATATGTACATACTGCATCCTCTGACCCAGAGCTAGGCAGTGTAGGAATTAGAGAGCCATTTTGGAATCTCACTATGTCTCATTATTTTACTTTGCAGATCAACTGCATTTTCACCAACGTAGTCTTGGATGTCTTTGTACAATTAGTCCGGATGGTATTCTCTCTCTTGGTGTCTCGGGAGGAGACCTCCGCACTAACTCTTCATCAGACCACACCAGTAGACCAGTTCAACCACACGGTTTGCCTATGGCTCAACATTCACTGGAATAATTTGTTACCTAATTTCCACTATTTCTCAGAAGTATTCCTAGTATACTCCGTACAGTGAATGCCTAGACAGTGTGGCTACTACTCCTACACCACAGGCGCGCGAGACGTCTCAACTTCCCGGCTCTCACACTAACCGAAAACAGCCAAACCCTCCTCAGCTTCAAACCCGACGAGAGCCATCAAACAACCTTCCCTCTAACACCCCTCTAACACCCGCCTCCCCCCCTCCCTCCTCTCCTCTCCCCCTCCGACCATACCCTTTTGTCCCCCTCCTGAATCAGGGACATCAGGCGGTTTTCCTCTCGCGCCTTTCGATTCCGCCCGGTCAAACTCCGAAACACAACATCCCCGACGGCTCTCAGCTCCCGGAGGTTGGTCACCCAACTTCCCTTTTCCTGGTTGTGAGATCCCGATCTTTTAGGGTGCAACCAGTCGAGCGAACAGTTCAACTGTGGCGATCCTCGAAACCTGACCATAGGTACGATACCTTATTGCCGGCTTCCTTCATCCTCATACTACACATGCGTGACTGGCAGCCGCCTACTCGTGTCCGCAGCATCTCCATCCACCCTATCCTTCAAGCGCTTGTTCTAACTGATTGCGCATATTGTGCTCTTGACAGACCCGAATATTGTTATGGCAGAGCAGAACAGCCGCGATGTGGTAGATCAGACCCTGTCGGGCGGCGAGCCTTCGCCTTCCGACGTCCCTGCAAGCACCACCGACAAGCCGACTCCCCAAGGGGACGTGGGAGAAATTCAACATATCGCGACCAGTTCAACTACGCAATCTTCGACGGATCCGCACTACAACGACGAAACGAGACAGACGCCTGTATCGCATACCGAGAGTACTGGAACTGATAAGGAAACTGGGAAGTCCTTCGATGGTGGGTCTTGCTGCTGAAGGCCGAGGAGGATATCTGCTAAACCAGCTACAGGATTCTTCCAAGCAGAGCATCGGGTTGGTTGCGTCACGCGCTATTGAAATGAATGGGCTAGCTTCGGTATCGGATGGTGGGGACGACACGGCTTCACAAGGTGGTTCGGAATCGGACGCCAGTCGAACCGACGGCAGACATCACGCACGAACTGGATCGGTTAAGAAGCCTTCTGCGTTCAAACCTGTGTCTTTCGCCAAGTTCGCCGTGCCCAAAGCGCCTGGGACTGCGGCGCCGCCAAAGGCTCCGGAGAAAGGTATGAATGACTACTAGGCTGCGATATTGGGTCAAGTATCTAACGAATTCATCAGTACCATCAACTTCGACTACTCCCCTGGGCACACCCAACCGAGCTCTCGGCCACGTTTGGTCGCAAAGGCAACATCTGGAAACTCCGTTTTGAAGCCAGGTTCAAGCAACTCGAATCCGGGCGGTTCTGGGCCAGACCCAAACCAAGTTTGGAACAAAAACCGACGTACGTTACAATGCCACACTTGTAGTGAGAAGTCGGAACTGACATTTCTTTCCTTTTCAGCCGTTCAGCCAACCCCCGCGAAGCACTTGACCGACGAAGAGCTGAAGCAGCAATATGGAATTCACATGACATCTCGCATCCAGGAAGACGGCGGCGGTACTACAGAAGCGAAGTGGGCTGATATTGACGACGACGAGGATGATTGGGCTCCTGAGACGATTGAGTGGACGGATGGAACGAAGGTCACTCTCACTCATACCGACCCGGTACCTGCACCCGAACATGCTCATGGAGAGCTGTCCCAGCCACCACCCCTACCGCCGCTTGAGGCCACAGAAACGAAAGAACCACCCAAGATCGCAGCTCCGAAGCCCACGACATCTATCGGACCAAATCCAACCGTATTGAGGCTTGGGGCGAACGCTGAACGACAAGCTAAGGCCGCTAGCATTTCCTCGAAAGGCACAAATGATAGAGCTCCCTCTGGATCCACAAGTCCTGCGCCTCCGGTCAAATCACCATGGGCATCTTTGCCTCCCGTCGAGAGAGTATCGCCAGTGAACGCCTCGGGTCATCCTCCACCTCCGCGCCCTCCTCCTCACTATCCGCATCGCGATGACGTTCGTCATGCAGCTTATCCACCTCAAGAGATCGCAGCCGATGATTTCAACCGCCAATGGCGAGAATCCGCGCCTGGTGCGCCACGGGAGTTGTTCAACTCACGTTCTGGTCGTTATGAACCTGTATCAGACAACCGACGGCCATCCTGGCGGAACGAGCCTCCATCGGGGGGCGCTCGGGGTCCGGCAGTGCTGCAACGAGCAGGTCATGATCACGGTGGCCCGGCTGAACCATCCGCGGCTTTCCAGACCCACCGGCATCATCAAGAAGGTGGTGGAGGTATGGGCTGGAATCGTCGTCGAACCTCCTCAAATGTTAGTGGCGGAAGTGGAGGATTCGGACGTCGCATGTCCTTTGGCCGCGCAGATGGGCCTCCAAGGCACTTCGAAGCTCGAAGGGGCTCTCAGACCAACGGAATGGTTGATCCTGCATTGATTGACCGCGACCAAATACATCCTCACGCACCAGCTCATCAGCACGGTAGCTCAGCTATTGCCTCGCCTCCTCCTCCTCCTGCTGCTGAAATCGCATCGACCGAGAACCAGCCAGCCCCATCTACTGCTCCTACGGAACCCGAAGAAGATCCTCTGGTGATGCAAGCACGTGTGATGAAGGAGACCATTCGTCTAGCTAAACAGCGACGGGAAGAGCAAGAGGAGAAAGAGAAGCTCGCAAGGCAAGAGAGAATTCGGCAGAAGTTGGCGTCTCTACCCCCGCTCCCGAAAAGCCGCAACGCAAGGAGAGTGTTGAAAGCCGCAAATCTCAGGCTCCGCCTACACCTTCTGCAGCTCCTGCAGTTATGCATTCCCCTCCAAAACCTCCGGTCCCGGAGCCTACTGGAGCGCCAAAGCAATACGGCATGATGAAAGTTCATCATCCAGATACGGTGAAGAAACTTGTCGCGGCCAATGAGAGAGACCGTGTTTCCGAGAAGCACACGGATAAACAACCTTCCTCTCACTTGCGGCAAGCTAATTCCCCTCGCGAGGCGAAACGGGAACCTGTCCAGGCTACTGAACAGAAGCAACAACCTCAGCAGCAACAACCCCCTCAGTCACCTCCACAAGATACGAATGTGGATGAGCAGAGTGGGCAGTGGCGTGGTAATCTCAACGTGCCTGGCTCCTATCCATCGTGGTCAGCTAATCCTAAACTCGCTTCCACCTCACCTTCGGTGAAGAACCCATGGAAGCCTTTGAGCAGCGACAGAACTCTCGGCAACGGTATCTTTGACCAACCTCTCGGAGGGTTCCCATCACGGGAGCTTCCGTTGCGGAGCCAGTTGGCATTGGATCAACCTGCCCAGGCGTTACCAGGAGCCCAGGATGTCTCGGCGATTGCTTCGCTGCCATCTCCTGAAACCAGGATCGCCGGCTACGATCCATTGAGTCCCATCGGTCGTCCCGGTCCCATTGGACCACCAAGCTTGCCCCGTAACCCTAATGCTCTGGGTGCTTGGGGCAATTTCCACAATGTCGCATCTCACAGAGAGGCCGAAGAATCCGAGCAGAAACGACAGGAGTTTAACGCCAACCGCAACCAGCCGAGTACAGCTGTCAACTTCAATGAGACCTGGAAGCAAGTGCGAAGTGGAGAAGAAGCCGGTCAACGACATGTTATGGGTGGAAGCGTGAATCAAAACCACCAGAGCCTACCTGTCAACCCATTGACGGGTCTGGATGCTCCAGTGGATGGTCTTCCTTTTTCCGAAACCCATGCCCGCCCTCTTGTCAGTGTTCCTACGAGAAGCTCACGTTTCTTCCCACATGGACCTGAACAACCGAAGAAGACGGCGACGGTGACGACGACGGTGATCGAGAGGTACGACTATGAACGAAGCCCATCGCCGCCGCCCCCGGAGGAGTCAAGCCATCCTGTTTATTTTGGCGGCTCTGGTCGGCCTTTGGTGCATCTGCCTACTCCCAAGCCTGTGGTAAAGCTTCCTCCTAAGGCGATCACAGCACCTCGACCGCCCCCGCCCACCTTTGCCTCGATGGCAGCTGCACCCCCACGAGGTGCCCCGGCACCTTCGAGTAAGATCTCATGGCAAGAAAAGATCAATACTCTCTTTGGCAAGAAAACGCCCCCGGCAACGAAGAGCTCTTTGGCTGTAACCTCCGCCACGAAAGAACCTCTCGATGTACAACTCCCACCAGCTGCGGCCGTCTCGGTCTCAGTGTCCTTCCCCGCCAAAGTGGATGATACACGAGGTGGAGATGGGGACTTGGCCGTTCGACAAGTTGAAGAACAAGACGAGATCTTTGAAGATCGTGAACCGGGCTCTCAGCCCCCTGTTCGAGTCCCGAATATGGCTCCGGCTGCAGCCTGGGCTGCCGCTCAACCTCCCCCCCCCGACTCGCCAGCGCGGCAAGCTTATGAAGCCTGTTCAGAGTCGCAGTGTTGAACCCTACATAGTCGGACTCGGTGAAAAGGATACATCCGGAAATTTGCGTGTCTTGATTCGATTCCCTGGGGCTCTCGCTTCCAAAATCTGCAGTCTGCCCAAAAAGATCTCGGCATCGCGACCTCGCGCCTCTCCACCGGTGAAGCCTCGAAAGGGCCCAAAGCCTCGTGACGCTTCCGGTAACTCCATCCCGCCAAAGAAGAGTTCTCCGCAAAATGGAGGCACATCCTCAACTCCGCGACACTCGTCCCAAAAGGCTACGTGGGGACCTCGAGCAGGCAGTGGCTCGCGGTAAGGTCGATATCTCGTTTTTTTCGGGGTCTTTCTTGTCAAAGAAGATGCCTTACAATGTCTGAACAATGTCATAATGGAGTCACGACAAGTGATTGTTTGTATTGTCCGGACAACTGTCATATCCTAGGCTCTTGTGACTCCGTGGCTACCTGCCAATCTGCCGTGTCACCTTCCATGACACTAATACTTTCCATACCTATTCGCTCTATCCCTCCCTCGCTCTCATCCTCCTCCCTATCCACCTCCCTCCCCCGCCACACTCAAACACCTTATCTTCTCTCTCCTACCTCCTCACTTCCTCCTCCCCCTCTCATCCGCCCTCATTCTGGTTTTCTGCGTTGTATCTTTTTCGTGGTTTCCTTGTTTGACTTGTCTCTTCGGTCCACATGGCGGGCCCGGGGGGAGCCTTACGATTGCGCGACTGAATTTGCTTTTTCGATCCCAAAGTCCTGCTAAGTCCTGCTACTAGCATGGGCAATCGGCCGGTCCAAGTATGAGAGCCAAATACCTCTGTCTCTCTCAGGCCGGAACCTCCGCCATGTCAAACGTACTGTTTGTGCTTTTTACTAGTACTTCTCGCAAGCTTCTAGCGCGACCTACGACAAACAACCCCCCTTCCATGTGGAGGAAATGGCGGCTGCCATGGGCCCCTGTTCTCAAGTCATCATGTACTAGCCGTGTCAAATTTATTATCAAGTCGTTCCTACTTGAAAGCTCCATTCAAAGAAGTCGAAGTAGTTTTTGTCTGTTTGTAGAAATTCCCGGCCATTCTTGTCAGTAGTAGGGCTTCGGGCTTCAAGTTCTCAGTGTTGTCCTCTCTGGGCCCTTTTATTGGAAGCTTTTTAGAAAACTCGCACGCCAGAGTCGAAGGTATTCGTATTGTCTGGGCGACAGGCCAATAATTACTCCCAACGCAAAGTGACAGTAGATCGAGCGCCCAAAACGGCAACACTCGACGCCAATTTAAGATCAACAAAGCACGCGATGTGCCTCAAAAACTGGCTCAATCTCATACAGATTTAAAGAATATGGTTCCGGACCCGTGTTGTTTCGTCAAGCACGGCAGGAAAGTAGGCATAAAGTTCCAATTTCTTTCATGCTCAATAGCTTTTATTTGATAATCATGAGAAAGACGGGATTTGAACTTCATTGTGGAACATGTGCTAACTAACTAACGTACCCCAGATTCTCCGATTCCGACAACATTGACTGAGTGACATCTGTTCTAAGCGCTGCAAGGCTGGCCGAGAAAGACGCCCACTGTATTGCTGCCCTGGTTTGTATCCACGATATCGAGATGGCCATCTCCATTGAAGTCGCCCACTGCAACACCAACCGGTTCAGACCCTGCGGGGTATGTGGTCTGCGTCTGGAAGGTACCATCTCCATTTCCAAGCAAGACGCTCAGTGTATTGCTGCCCTGGTTTGCAGACACAATATCGAGATGGCCATCCCCGTTAAAATCGCCTGTTGTAATATCAAACGGCTCGACACCCACGTCGTAGCTGGTCTCCGCCTGGAAGGTACCATCTCCATTTCCAAGCAAGATACCCGTTGCACTATCTTGATAATTTGTAGTCGCGATATCGAGATGGCCATCTTCATTGAAGTCGCCCACTGTAACACTGTGCGGTGTTTTCCCTGTAGGGAATGTAGTCTGTCCCTGGAATGTACCATCTCCATTCCCAAGAAAGACGCTCACTGTATTATCATCGAAACTCGTAACCACAATATCAAGGTAACCATCCTCGCTGAAAATACCTACTGCAATACCGAACGGCTCGGTCCCGGCAGCATATACAATCTGCGCCTGGAAGGTCCCATCTCCATTCCCGAGCAAGATACCCACTGTATTGCTTCCCTGATTTGCAACCACAATATCAAGATGGCCATCGTTATTGAAGTCGCCTACTGCAATACCGTTCGGATGAGACCCCACGGGGTATGTTACCTGTGCCTGGAAGGTCCCATCTCCATTCCCGAGTAAGATGCCCACTGAATTGCTGAATATATTCGTAGTCGCAATATCGAGATGGCCATCTTTATTGAAGTCGCCTACTGCAACATTCTCCTGTATATCCCCAATAGTGACTGTGGTCTGCGTCTGGAAGCTACCATCTCCATTCCCAAATAATATACTCAATGCAGAACTACCGAAATTCGCAGTCACGATATCGAGATGAGTATCTCCATTAAAGTCGCCTACTGCAACACCCATTAGCGCAGACTCCGTCGCAAATGTGGTCTGTGGCTGGAAGAGTATGCATTGTGCGCAGGTACCTGATTTGCAAACCGATCCACTAGTGCACTATGAACGTGTGAGCAGTAATTAGATTAACAATAAGAACTCTGTCTAAACTTACGATGCTCCCACATGTCCCGCAATTTTTGTTGTCTGAGCTAAAATTTGGACAGGTGCCGTTGCAAAGAGCTAGACCAGAGTTTGTGCAGATACAAGCACCTGATTTGCAGGTAGATCCAGTTGGGCACTATAGATGCGTGAGCAATCACATTAGCAATGAGAACTCTGTCTAAACTTACAATGTTCCCACATGTCCCGCAATTCTTGTTGTCTGAGCTAAGATTTGGGCAGGTGCCGTTGCAGGGAGCTAGACCAGAGTTTGTGCAGATACAAGCACCCGATTTGCAGGTCGATCCAGTAGGACACTATATAACGGTAAGCATTACATGAAACACTAACAGCCTTGGGGATAAGAACACTGCTTGGTAGACTTACAACATTGCCACACTTCCCACAATTTTTGTTGTCAGTGGTAAGAGAAGGACAGGCTTTATTGCAAGGAGCTAGACCAGAATTCGTGCAGATGCAAGAGCCTGATTTACAAGACGATCCAGTAGGGCACTAAATACCGATGAGCATCAATCGTCTTTAAATGAGAGCACTGCTTAGACTTACAACATTGCCACACTTTCCGCAATTTTTGTTGTCAGTATTGGTTTGAGAACAAATACCAGAGCACAGCAGTTCCGTAGGGCTACTCTTATGAGGTCCACAGGTATAACAAGGTCCCGTTTCAAGTGCTGCAAACCCAATACAGGAGAGGGCTGAGCGTGGAAGATTCTCTGTACACCATTGAAGACAGAGGTCTCTGCTCTGAGCCAAGCCCGGCGCTACCAGATGTATAATTTATCAGTGTAAGCTCATATTCTTACTGCGGGAAGCCATACCGAACGATGTCAGGACGAGAAGGGCGAGCACGAGTGGAGCCATCGGATAAGCTGCTTTATGACCCTAGTGTAGCGAACACAGGATAGGGTGCGGAAAACTTTCGCGGAGGGATAAATTCGTGGCATTTATTTGACCGAAGTCCTGTGCTTATGTCCCTGGCATGGTGTCTAAGAACTGGACAAATATCTGCCGCGCCTGAAATTCCACTAAGAATTAGCTCTCATTTTTGACGAAAATATGCTTTGGTGGTCCTGCTATGCGGCATGTTTGACCTTCATGTGTATAATCTTCCGGCTGGGTGGCTAACAACTCGACAAACCTTGGAATATCTGCCGCGCCTGAAATTCCACTAAGACTTTGGCTGTCATTTTTTAACGAAAATAAGCTTCGGTAGTCCTGCCGTGCGGCATGTCTGACATTCATGTATAAATTTTCTGGCTGTGTGGCTTACAACTCGACAAATATCTGCCGTATTTGGAGCCCACCAAGAATGTTGTGTAGTAATACGAAGACGCCAATTGAAGTTTCTACAAACTAGAATAGTATTTACTGAATGTTTCAAAATCTTTAAAATCTTTAAACTCGGTTCTTTCAAAATAAAGGGAGTAAAAAGTATGATATACACGAAATGAAAAGAGGTATCAATCAAAAACCAAAGTATTCCATCCATAAACACCGCGCCACGAGAAGATAATTATTCCAAACACCACAAAAAAGCCCATGCACCACAGCCGCATCATTATTTAAAAGTCCAAGCAGCTTCCCCAGCACCTGCTCTTGCCTTAACTCCAGGAAAGAAATGAGTTTTGAAAAAGAGAATTGCGAAAAATGGGGGTCCCGGATATTTAACTGTATCCACCGATCACCAGTTCCAGGTCCGGCTGGAGGCAGTAAATACCGGCGGCTTCCATTGTAAGCGGGCAGGGTCGATCTTGCGTGCACCCTTGACTTTCTCTTTTTCGAGTCGCTTGTTGTGCTCATCAAGGACGTAGTCCGTCAGAACGATGACCCAGTTTCCTTTCTGTGGGAGTGTCAGCATTACATCTTCTCACGGGTCGTGGACATGCAGGGGAAGGGAAGGGAGGGAAAAACGTACGTGATATCGAAGCATATTGAAAACAACGAGTGTTTCGTGAACATCTTTCTCCGTCATAGCAGTTATAACAGCCAACTCGTTCTCACTCATAGCTTCTCGATTCGGCTCCGTTAATAACTCGACAAGTGTCTCTCGCCAATACTGTCGATAGCCAAGCAAACCCAAATCACTCAGCGGCTTTTCAGGGGAACCGAGCTTGCCTTCGCGCTTGCTGAGCTCGTAACTGAACGAGATGAGCAGACGGCCGAAACCACGACGCTGGTATTGCGGCAGAGTCAAGATACAAGCGAGATTGTATCCTTCGGCGGAATCCTTCTCCTTGGAGAAATATCCGACGAGATGGCACCCCGTCTCGTCACGGGTACACATGCAGTAGAACAAGAAGGGGTCGACGTCATAGTAGAGAGTTTTGTGATCAAGGAAAAGCTTGCTGAGCAGACAGAGGTTCCGACACCAAGTCCGCTGACGACGGCCGTCAACCTCGAAGAAAGAAATGTTCTCGTCACGGTAGATTTCATTGCCGGGAGGGTGGACCAGGGTGCATTTTGCGCGGTGGCGCTCAAAGGCACGCTGGTTGTCGAAGTAACTCAGACAGAACTCGTCGATGTAAACCAAGTCGACGTCTGAGTATGAATCCGGGTACGGGGAGAAATACCACGGTTCGACGTCGAACTTGCCCATTTGGAGACGAGTCAAGTTTCGCACTCGGTGAATCTCCGTTGGATTCTGGGTCATACTACCGCTGGTACGGAGGCGTTCGATTTCTTCTTCGCGGGTGATTATCTCGCCCGATACGGTTTTGACTTCTTCTTCCTCGGGAGTCTTTTCGTCTTGGGCATCGGCCATTTCCACGTCTTCGAAATCCACGACCTTGGGCGTGCCATCTGTGGAGGCTGCCTCGGCTCCGAATGAGTCGCCGGGGGTTGAGGCATCGCGGTTCTCTTTGCCGCCTGCTTTTGATGGGCGCGAGGCCTTGCCAACGTTGACGTTCTTACCGCCTAAAGCATCGGGGGTGCTGGAAACTTCGCGGCTATCGCCAGCCAGTTGTTGCTTTGGGTTCTTGCTTGGCGCCGCCTTGTTGGAGGAGCTGGCTTTCTTTTTGTCTGCTTTTTCGGGCTGGGGCCACTCCACCTCTTGTGTGAGGTCAATTCGAGTTGATGCAACCCATTCTAGGATACTGTGTCAGTATTCGGATGTTTCATTAATTCCACAAATAGCTATGCAGCTGAACTTAGGGCTAGCATACCATCCAGACGCTTATTGAAGTCAACATAGTGCACGCTAGTCGTATTTGTTAGCATGATCGATTCTTCCGGGGTAATGTGGGCAATAATATAAACATACTAAAAGGAAGGACCATCCTTCCGCTGTCTGATTGAGAGGATCTCCGCCTTGCGTAGTTCTCCGTCCTGTGAAGCCCGAAGTCAGTATGATATCACGTGATGTATACCAGAATCTGCGGCTGTTGCAACGGACCTTCTGCACCATGGCCTTCACACCGATCCTATGATCCAGATTAGTAAATGCGACCGATGAAAACCGACTCGAATAGTCGATTGAGGCATGTCAAAAATTAATTCTGGCCGATTCGGGACTCACCTGATAGTGTTGAGGGTGGCGAAGCCCTTCTCGACGGGGTCGGGCGTCCCCGTCGCCTCGCTGTGGGGGTCTCGGACGCCCATGATGGTGAACTGCTTGCAGAACCGGGGCAACCTAAGACTGAGATGAAAATGATGGATATGATGCGATGCGCGATGGGGGAGTTCAAGTTGCGCAGTAAAGGCGGAAGGGGAGAAGCACACGGCAGATTGAGGCAATTCGACTTACCGCCCACAGTTTCCGGATCAGCAACGATGCGACGCCAGCATAAAAGGTGAGTTATAGATGGTAGTCTTGGATAAGACTGTCAAGTCCGACATCCAGTGCTTCATTCTAAAGGCCTTCAATGGCGGCATCTTGAGTAATTAGTAAATCAACAACTATGCATAATGATTGTCTACTATTCTGGTTTCAAGTTTGTTTTTACAGATACTAAGGTGGTAGTAATATATAAGCTGCCAGTTATACTTCCAATGGATTTTCATGTACCATAGCAAATAAAAAGAACTTCAACCTTTCCTAATGATACAATAAACGAAGCGGGTAATGGGTCATGACCTTCCAGAAAAGAACTCGGTGAAAAAAAAAGAATATCCAACATAGCCAACACCTTAATGCCATCCATTAACCGTGGCAGTCCCGGCGACAAGCTCATCAAGTTCGTCCTTCCGGGTCTTATACAATTCCTGTGCCTCACGCTCGCGGCGCATGATCGAAGATACCTCCTCTCGTAGCTTCTCCAGACGGCTCGACACAGCCGCCTCCTCTGAGATCTGTAAGGTGCGGAAGGCGTCCAGGTCATTTTGAACCTTGGGTAAAGCGGCATTGGCTTCCACGATCTTGGAGCGCAGCGTCTTGGCGCGGTTCTGATATCCGCCATAGTGCAAGGACAACTTCTTTTCCAGCTTGTTGCCTCGTTCAGCGGTGGCAAGGAGAGATTCCTGGACATTATCAAAGGCACCGATCATGCGCTGTTCCTCCTTGAAGGCATCTTGCTCCTCCTCATCAACGTAGTTGTCCAGGCCGGGAAGGGCTTGGGCGCGGGTGTTTGTCCAAACGCCGTCAAACTGTTCTTGCCAGTTGTCTTGTTGTTGTTGTTGCTGTGCTTCACCAGCCGCTTCGGCGGCGATAGCCACTCGAGCGGCCTCCAGGAACTTATCATCAACACGACCCAGCTTGGGCGCCTTGCCCTCTACCTTGGCGCCCGGGACCGGGTACCTCCGTGAGTCGTGGGCAATGATAAGTGCAGCCTCCTTGGCGATAAGAGCTTCAATCGGGTCAGCGACATGGGAGGCCCGCTCCATCAAGGCGCTGAGATCGAGGACAGCAGGTCGAGGCAGACCTCGCTGGTACGCTTGCGACTGGCGCTTGAACTCTGCTTGAGCGGCCTTCTCACGAGCCTCACGGTCTCGACGATCCCGCTCAGCCGCATCTTCCTCGCTGAACTCGACAGCAGCGGCAGGCTCGGCGGTTTCGGAGGGAAGTTCTTCTAGTTCCCATTCGGTCTCCTTGGGTTTCGGAAGCGAGGCGAGCTTGCTGCGCATTTGTTGGCGCATGAAGTTCTCGTGGGTTCTGATATCACGGGGTGTGCTTCCAACAGGCTGGGCTCCCTCGCGGTTAAGAGCGAAGTGGTCTCGTGGCGTCCGTAGCGGCGTGGCACCAGGCCCAATACCGCCCTTTAGAGGGGTTGCGCCCACGCCGTTGGCCTGTCGGAATGGTGTAGCCATCGGGTTGGGAGTAACAATATCTTGTCGTCGAGGGGCAATTCCATCGAAGCCAGTGGAAGAACCACCCTCGTGAAGAGGAGTGTTGTCACCTCCAAGCAGAGACGATTGTGTTTCGGTCAACGCCCGAATGTTCTTAATTTCATTGGCGATGTGATCTTCTTCGGGGGCAGCTCGGGGTGTTCTGATGGGAGTTCCTCCAACAATGGCTCCGTAGTTTCCAATAAGACCCCGAGTCATCTCTTCATCGGCACTCATCCGGCTAGCTTTGTCTCCAGCCATGCCCATCTTGATAATATCCTCCATCTCGCCTTCGCTGACTTGCGGCGCCGGCAGATTCAGACCCCGTCGCTTGCTGCTTTGCTCTGCTTCGCGAATCTTCTGCATTTGGCCGGCGCGCGCGGCCGCAGCGGAAGCAGCTGAAGTGCTGTTCTTGTCGCTCTTTTGTTTTTTGCGCTCATTATCCTCGTCTTGGTCACCCTTTCGCTTATTGGCCAGCTGCTGCTTTCGAGGGTCGAACATCTCTCGCTGGCGTTCATTGGTGGCTTGCTCCTCCATGGTATCGTAGAATCCAGGTGCGGCCGGCTTCTCGAATGGGATATCGGCGTTGTAATCCATCTGGCCCGGCTTCCGGGTAACCACCTTGACGTTAATACCGGCATGCTTGAGCTCACGGCGCTTCTGCAACACGGCCAAACGGCGCGACTCTTCCAGCTGACGCTCGCGGGCCTTACGCTTCGCCTTTTTACCCTGTGTGTTGGCGAGACGAGCACGAGCTTCGCTGAGCATCTCCTTCTCATCCTCATCCAGATCGATAGTGTCGGGGCGGGCGGGCTTCGATTCGGGGTCGGGATCCAGCTCGCCGGGGCGTAGACGTCGGACATCATCGGCGCTAGGAGCAGCGGACTCTCCTCCTTCAGGTCCTCCCAATCCCAAATCATCGTTCTCACGGGCTTCCGCCTCATCTAGGAGTTTTTGATACCGTTCGAGACATTGTGTGGCGGTCCGACCGACGATAGGGGCAATGGTGCGCCATTGGGTGGGCATCAATTTGGCGAGGTGCAAAAGCTTCTCATCTTCCTCGCGCGACCACTCGACCTTACGAATACCCGGGTCCAGCCATTCTATCCAGCGCGCTTTGCATTGCTTCGGGGTCTTTCGAGCGAGGAGCGAAGAGACACGGGCCCATTGGTTGAGACCATATTTCGATACCTATGACCAGTCAGCATTTGCACCATCCGGAAGCAAACAAAGCCCAGAAGCTTGATATCGCAATTTGAAGGTAACTTACGGCCCCGAAGGACTTCGTCCTCGATATTGGTCCTAAAAGTGTGTTAGTCGCGAGTAGGTAAAAGATGGAGGTTTGACAGAAAACTCACCAGACACCTCCCTTGACGACAGGCATGGCGCACGATCAAAGCCGACGCTTCTTTGTCCAACCTGTAAGTGGTAGGGATCGAATTGCAAGCTGCCGGGGATAAAGAAAAAGAGGAGGTCCCCGGAGTGTCGCGCGCAGTGGTGGAGCTGGATGTTCGTCTTGAATCTGTTCGCGCGGAAGTCGAAGTCGCTTCACCGCCCGCTTGGCTGCCCCCGCGTTAGTCAGCAGATTCCCGGACTTTAGTTTTTTTTGGAAAAAAAGAGTTAAACTTGAAGGGAAAGAGAGACTCCACCAACCAACCATGTCGACCAAGTTGGATGCTCCGCAGCAGTTCAAGCAGCCTTCTCGTAAGGGCAAGAAGGCCTGGCGCAAGAATGTCGATGTCACAGAGGTCCAGGAGGGACTGCGCCAGTTGAAAGATGAAGAGATCAAAGGGTATGTCGAATGTCTCCATAAATGTTTTAACTACAAAATGATCGAGGCTCTTGCTAATCTTTTTTTTTGTTTTCTCTCAGTGGCCTTGTGTCTGAGAAACCTTCCGATGAACTGTTCACTATCGATACCGCTGGCACTGAGCATGTACGAAATGCCATCGCAAAGAAGCACAAGCCGCTCAAGGCCGACGAGATCATCGCTCAGCGTTCTGCTATCCCAGCAATCGACTCCCGCAAACGCGGCAACGCCAATGTAACCGACGGTGTCATTGAGCCAAAGACCAAGAAGCACCGCAAGGACTGGGTGACCAAGAAGGATATGCTGCGCCTGAAGCAGTCGGCGAGGGATGCGGATTTCAGCAAGAAGGGCAACAGCCAACTTTACGACCCCTGGGCGGAGGATGCGGATGCCGATGACTCTGTCGCTGTCGAAGACCCCCAGTTTAACTTCTTGCCCAAGCCTAAGGCCAAGGTCGCCCCGGAGACCTTGAAGCACGCTCCCATTTCGCTTGCAGCCAACGGAAAGGTCATCCCCGCAGTGCGCATGCCCCATGCAGGAACCAGTTACAATCCTGTGTTCGAACAGTGGGATCAGCTACTCGAGGAACATGGAAAGGAGGCAGTCGAGGCGGAGAAGCTGCGTCTCGAGGAGGAGCGGAAGGAGCAGGAAAAGCAGCGTTTAATCGAAGAGGCCCAGGGCGATGATGGCGAGGTCAAGTCTGACGATGAGAGCGCATGGGAAGGCTTTGAGAGTGAATATGAGAAGCCCGAGTGGCTGAACAAGAAGCGTCCCGAGAGAAAGTCTAAGACTCAGCGGAACAAGGCCACACGACGAAAGGAAGCCGAGAGGCTAGCGAAGTGGGAGGCCCAGAAAGCCAAGAAAGATGCCCAGCTCGCCCGCGTGGAGGAGCTCACAGAACTTGCCAAGCAAAGAGAACTCTACGGTGCTGATGATTCGGATGCCGACGATGGGGAGGAGGGTGATGAGACCAAGTTGCGCCGAAAGCCCTTTGGCGGCAAGAATGCGTACGTATCCAGAACCAGCCTACTTGAAACCCATTTTGAGCTATTGCTAACTATTATTACAGTCCTCCTGAGAAGCGCTTGGAACTGGTTCTTCCCGATGAACTCCAGGACTCTCTCCGTCTGCTCAAGCCTGAGGGTAACCTTTTGGACGACCGTTTCCGTACGTTGATCGTGCAAGGTAAGCTTGAGTCTCGCAAGCCTGTGACGCAAGCTCGCAAGGCCAAGAGAAAGGTTACGGAGAAGTGGATGTCCAAGGATTTCAAAGTCCCTGGTGTCGAGTACTAGTAAAACTTGTTTATCTGGCTTTGATGACTTTCAAAATGGCGTACCGGGATGATTGGACATACATCATGGGCAAATATCAGCGCTCTACATATTGTTTCTGGGATAAAGTAGAGATTTATAGTTTCAAAATTTGATCAGACCATCTATTCTTGTACTTAAACTGCGTAGATAAGTAACTCACGAGATGATACTAGTATTCAATAGTCCTTTTCATGTTTCCCCTCGTATAGTTGATACGATATTTCTTTCTCAAGAAGGCGGTGTACTCCTATCAGCGCGCCACTTTTTTGTCGGCAGAAAAAGTGAACGGCAATTCGTCTCCTCCAAATCGACTCCAACTTTTTTCATCGCAATGCAATAACGTCGACAGAATTGGTACCCTCGGAATGGACACAGCAAGTCTTTCCAGCAACTGGAAGAAGTTACAGGCGACGCTCAAGAAAGGAAGTGCCTCATCCTCGGCACCGGCCTCCAAATCGGCCTCCAAACGCAAGGTTTCTGATCGCGAGTCCGGACATGGCACCGTGAAGAGAACAAAGTTCACTCAGAAAGACCAGTCAAAATCCAGAGACTCAAAACCACTCTTGAAGAGGAAAAGAATGGCGGACGGAGCAGAGACTGATTCGTCCTCGACAAATTTACGGAGGAAGTCAAGCACCGCAACTTTGTCGAAGACTCCGACGGAAACACTCAGATCGAAAGAGAATGAGGGCCTCTCCGCTACGTACGTTTGAACCTCGAGTTATTACTCCCTCAAATCTATATGAACTTTACTAATGTCGTTCCCACAGTGCTGAAATAGGAAAATATGTCGCCATGGATTGCGAAATGGTAGGCGTTGGACCGAACCCCGACAACGACTCCGTCCTTGCACGAGTCAGTATCGTCAACTTCAATGGCGACCAGATCTATGACTCCTACGTTCGACCTAAAGAGATGGTTACAGATTGGCGAACACACGTCAGCGGCATTGCGCCGAAGCACATGGTGGAAGCGCGAACCCTCGAAGCAGTTCAGAAAGAGGTATACGGGATCATGGAAGGACGAATTCTTGTCGGTCATGCCGTGAGCAACGATCTCGATGCCTTGATGTTTGCTCACCCGAAGCGTGATATTCGTGATACAAGCAAGCACGCGGAATACCGGAAAATTGCCGGTGGTGGATCCCCCCCGACTGAAGATTCTTGCGGAGCACTTCCTCGGGTTGAAGATTCAGGAAGGTGCGCATTCTAGTGTGGAGGATGCTCGGGCGACGATGGCTTTGTATAGGAGAGAGAAGGACTCATTTGAGCGGGAGCATTTGAAGAAGTGGCCGATTCGGGCGAATGCTGAAAATAGAGAAAAGGTGGATGGGCAGAAAAAGAAGAAGAAGAAGAAGTCGACTAAGAAGAAGCGCTGATCTTCTTTATTCTTTGGTGCTGGCCTGATGAGCCGAAGTGAGACGAGACGAGACTGTATCTAAATACCCTTGCGGTGCACATGTATACCCCAATTCGCATCCAGTTCAAGAATTGCATTAGAATTTGACATATATGACCAGTATTCTAGAGTGTAATTGTATGGAAATAGTTATTTCCTAAGTCGAAAGTAAAGAATCGAGCAATGTGTGTTTGTAGTGACTAGCTAACTAAGTATACACCAAAGTGCGACTGCCCGCTCTCCGCCCCATTTCACTTAACGCGCAGCGCGACGCGCCTTTCGACCACGCAAAGAACCACACAACTTCAATACCCTCGCGACACCCAATTCAAGCCAGTTTAACCTTCACTTCGGTCAATCACCAAACACCTTCATCTTGCAAAGTATCTATACCACACCCATCGACCACCTAGCTCCGCGGAGCGATCACAGCTCGCGACACCATGCCAGACATGTATGCCTTCCAATCGGCCTCAAAGCCAGGCGCACAGTCAGAAGAAGGCTCTTCTGGTGCAACACTCACACCCAACATTCTCCCCTGTCGAATTCATCATGATGGACCCATCGACCCCGCCGGGCGATTTTGGGCGCCGAAGACAGACGAGAAAGGTACGCACCGTTCTGCCGTTCTAACCATATCCACTCGCGCAGGGATTGAAAAGTCGTAAATATACTGATTGATAACTGGATTAGACGACATTGAAACCGCACATTACCGTGGCCGCAGACTGCGTGGTCGGCGCGTCGCAGTTCCAGATGGATACCAAGGTGCGCAGCCAGGCAATCTTCATCTCTGAACACTTTACGGGGGTGTGAACTTGCAAATACTTACTTTTGGACAGGCGTCATCGCAACACCAACAGAGCGTATTCTCCCTTCTTCGCAAACAGTCGACAAAAATGAAGACGTAGTCGAAGTTCAACCCGAGGAATCGGTCAAGATCCTCGAGACACAGGGTACCTTTGAAGATATGATGGTCTGGGGACATGAGCATCTGCCTGCGGCGGATGATGTCTATGTTAAAGGTGTGGAGGAATGGGTGCGGTTTGCCGAGACGGTATGTTCATTTTTCTCTCTTTTGGGGGTTGACTCTGACCTTTTCTAAGATGCATGGTGTTCCTTCTACTGGTGATGGGAAGGACGCTTCCAAGTAACGATTTATGACGAGAACGGTTATAGTAACTGCATAGCTTGCCTTGGCCTCAAAAATAATAATATATCGCCTGCCAGAATTTAATGCGTTAACCTTGGAACGTAAGATCCAAATATACCACTACTACCAGCCAGTACGAATATCACCCCGCAGCCATTGCATAGTAAGAATACGGTAGTAGCATCAATATGCTATAAGATAAAAGATATGAAAAGGAATGTATTGAAACACTCGCATAGCGAGTCACGCCAACCGGGGTATCATGTATCACCGAACCTAACAGAACCAGCCTGTTCCACACCCAACCCGTAATTATCGGACCCAAAAAAAAGGCCACAATGCCAATCAGAAGCATGCATATAAGAAATTATGCGTGAGCATCCAGCGCCCCAAAACGCCAACGTCTGCATTCCACCAAGGAGAAGAACCCAATGCCGAATAAAGTCGTAAATCATAATTATCACGCTCATGTCCCTTAAGCCGCCGCCACTGGGGTCTTGCGAGCAGCCTGTGAATTTTGATCATTTGGGTCCATGGACCCAATGACGGGGGATGAGGTGGTATCGACAACATTATCGAATGGCGAGAACAGATTCCCGCCGCCGAATAGAGATGATGGCTGGCTGTCGTCGGTAGAGAAGAGAGAGCCGCCGCCTCGACCACCGATGGCGTGCTGCATCTGCTCTTTGATCCGGACATATCTGTACTTGGTCTTAGAGGTGATGAGGGTATGTTCAGCGATGGGTTTGGGCGCGGATCGGGCAATAGCCGCCATGACGGAATCTCGTTCTTCGTCTGAATCGACGGGCCCGCTTGTTTCCAAATCTTCTTGCAACGGAGCATTGGCGTCGATAGCAGCCTCTGTACGTAAGAATAAAACATATTAGTCCAAACGTTCTCCGTAGTGAAATACGGGAGAAGTAGGGAGGGGGGGGGGACACATACTCTGCTGTCGAGCCTGGTTCTTTTTCTGATATTGCTGTAGCAGCATATCATACGGTAAAGACCGACCTGGCACTGCACGCTTCGCACCCATCGAGTGACTCTTACATGTCAACGAGCGCGCGCACTGAGCACCATTGGGCAATGTGACACCACACTGCTTCTCGACATCAACAGGCCCCTTAGGCTTAGCCGTCTTCGCCTTGGGTTCATCCTTCTTCTTTTTCTTGGGCTTGGTATCATCTTCATCCGCCTTGCGCTTCTTTCCCTTCTTCGTCCCATCGTCAGTGCCTTTGGCAGCACTCTTCTTCGCACTCTTCTGGCCTTTCATGGAATCTTCCGGCCCATCCTTCTCGTCGATATCACCCACATCGCCGGCCTTGGCCCGATTCGCCGCGTCGCGTGCCTCCTTCTTCTTGCGCGCTTTCTCCTGCTTCGCTTTCAGACAGCCACGGATGTGCTCCGGCGCACTGGACTTGAGCGCGGGACGCTTGCAATGTTTGCAGATAACGGTTTCCAGCAAGTCCTGCTCACGCGGTTTACCCGTCGGGAAAGAGGCGGCGATCTTATTGTCCAATTTGGGCAGTGGTGAGGAAGTAGGCGAGGTATCGAGGGGTCCATCCTTGCTATCTGAAAAAAAAAAAGAGGAACAACAGGTAAGCTCGTGTCCTCTTTCCAATTAAAAACTGGCCAGCCAGCCAGCATCATCTGCAAAAAGCGATCTTACCATCTGCCTTCTTCTTCGTCGAGCCCTTAGATGTCTTCTTCACCTTCATCTTTCCGGGTTTGGTATCCTTTTCCGTAAACTTGTAGCCCGACGCCTCTACCAAATTGCCCGAGGCTGTTCAGTTGGAGAAAAATGTTAGCATCCCACCCATCTCTTCATCTTGCCGGCTCTGACCAGGCGCGGTTCATAGTCATGCTTTCCGATCAAAGGGTTGCGGTGGCGGGCCTACCTCGACTGGAGTCGCCGTTGGTCGTCATGATGAGCGCGAGTGCTATAATTGCCCTGACGAAGCGAATCTCTCTTTCTCTGGCACTCTCTATAGAATTCTTGTCGTGCCAGGGTGGTTGTCGGGGTGGTTGTTCACTGCGATGTCCGTCGTCGTCGGTCGGGCTGGGGCTCCGCATTTGGGACTGGGTCACGTGTTGCGCGCAAATGATCCATCGTCATAGTAGAGAGTTATACCGGGACTCACTCGCACTTGACCATATATTTTGGAAATTTCAGGTTGGATTTTGTGTTGATTGCTGAAATATCATAGGGTCTCTAGCATATTCCAAGCAAGCCTTGGAAAACTTTCCAGGCATTCGAGTCTTTAACCAGAATCTAAATCGTGGGAAAGTAACTAACTACTACTCGTAGTTGAGTAACTAGTTAGTTCTGGTACTAACTATACCCTGCTGGTAGTGGAGCGCCTATGGGATTCAGGCAGGCAGGCGACGTTATACTATCTTGTGTTTCTGGTCTTTCCTATCCTATTAATGCATCCCTTGTACGATAGTAGATTATTATACTACTAGTAGATGTCATCATATGCGGCATGTTGGGGTGCCTTAAGCATAAGGCCACACAGACAAACCCCACTGAGTGAATCAGCATGACCAGTTGAACTATACGACACCAATCGAAGCTCGAACATCTTGAATTTCAAAAAGAAGTTGAACTTAGCCATGAATCTAAAATGCCTCTAAATACACTGGAAACCATTCCACCAGAGCCGGTACTCCTGATCTTTCACCATTTATCGCCAGTTGATGCTTGCTGTCTGGCTTTATGCAGTCGCTATTTTTTGTCTCTTTGCTCCCCGTTCGATCGTTTCGACCTTTTGGGTAGAACATGGTCTGGTATTCGTACAGGTGACAAGAACAGGGAGAACCTGCGGATCGACCTACTTACCCGTCTCGCCCGTTATTTGCCGCAATACCACCTCTGTCCCTTCCCCCAAGTTTGAACTCAGGAAATGCTTCGACTCGATTCCAGGTCCTGAAAGATACGATAATATTCTACTCATGCCGGCCAACATATGCCATTTCCCTACCTACTCTTATCACAAACTGCATTTTGTTCATGTCCACCTTGTGATGAGGAGTTTCTACTTCGGTCCATCGTTTGGTATTCTCCCGTCTCGGAGCTACTGTATACCGAGGTGGGCAATATGCCCATCGACCAACAAAAACGACGTCTCTCCAAGAAATCCAGAGCACAGATGTCTGAGAAGGAGTACTGGGCCTGTCATCGGAAAGGCCTGATGTCTATTGAGGCACGGATCTGTTGCGCCAATCCTCCTGGTCTCTGCCTGCGCGTACAAAGTCCTGCAGTGGTTCGGCGACAAAACGCACAACATTTTTACAGCGTGGAGAAAGAAACTGTCGAGATTTGTAAGCATATTGGGACTACTAAGGGCAATCTTGACGGCGTCATAGAATTCCTTGTCGACAGATATATTGAATAAGGGAAAGAAAATGGGGAGGGCCAACTTCTACGCCGGGGAAAATGTGGCCAATACAACACGGCGTGGAAAATGGAAATTCGGGAGATCGATGATCGAAAGGAGGTGTGCTTGCTCTTAACACAATGGAGGGACTTGGGACCAGGCTTGGACCCTGAAGATGATCTGTGGAGAAGCCAGGCAGACAGGGTTCTTCCGATAACATTGAAAGCCAGTGATATGGTGGAAGATCCACGCATGCGCTTTGAGGAGCAATTCGATGGAGCGGGGAGTAATTCTTCTCAATTTCTCTCGGAGGAGCAGATGTTTGGGCGGAACCTGTCTTTTTTGCGAGGTCAGCGTTATCGGGCTGTTATGAGGAGATGCGGAGACTGGTGGTATCTTCAGGAAGAGCCTAAGGTCAAGAAATCCCAATGTATCGTCAATTGAGATAGAAGCATAGCTATGGTTACCTTGCCTTCAAGTTGCTATGCCGGCAACATGGAAGTATAACTAACTCTGTGTAGCATGATAGTTAATGTAAGAGAGAACTCCGTCATCAATTGAGCATACCAGAAAATCTAAAGCATCTTCTATTTATATCGTACATTACACCAACTTTTCCAATCAATCGTGCCGAACAAAGCACAAACTACTATTAGTCCCGCCAAACCCAAAACTATTCGTCAAAACCACATCAATCTTCCTCGACTGAGCCTCATTAGCCGCATAATTGCAGTCGAACCCATCCGCCAATCGATCGAGGTTGATAGTGGGCGGCATAACATTCTAAAAAAGCGTCAGTCCCATCAAAGCCCAGTTTAAGCGCAAGGTAATACTTTGGACAGCTCAACTCACATCTTGAATAGCAAGCACACTAAAAGCAGCCTCGATAGCGCCAGCGCCACCGAGAAGATGCCCCACAGCACCCTTGGTACTGCTAATATTCACATCCTCCGCCTTTTCTTTACCACCCGGACCAAGGAGAAGCGACTTGATAGCAGCGTTCTCAGCAGCATCGCCTACAATCGTTGAAGTTGCGTGCGCATTGACATAATCCACCGCGGAGGGCGGGAGTTGGGCTTGTTTTAGCGCTTTCTTCATCGCCATGTATGCGCCTTCGCCGTTTTCTTTGGGGGCTGTTATGTGGTGTGAGTCGCTGGAGCAGCCGTAGCCTTTGACTTCGGCGTAGATTCTTGCGCCGCGGGCGCGGGCGTGTTCGAGTTCCTATTAGTGGTACAATTTTCAGTGTTGCTTGGGAGACAGGTATTGGATGAGATGCACAGCACTACTCACCTCGAGAATGAGCACAGCGGCACCCTCGCCAACGACGAAACCTTTACGGTCTGCATCGAAGGGTCTGGATGCTTTTTTTGGATTATCATTGAAGTCAGTTGCCAGACTTCGGGCTCTGGCGAATCCTCCGATGGCGAGGGGGTGGATGCAGGACTCGGCGCCTCCGGCTACCATCACGTCTGCATCTCCGCAGGCGATGAAGCGGGCTGCGTCGCCGACGGAGTGTGCGCCGGTGGTGCAAGCTGTTGTTGCGGAATGATTTGGGCCCTGAAATTTGTGTGTAAGTAAAGCGTGGAATTATTCTTAATTTTTCCCCGGGAGAGGTGGGTGTGTGTTCGTACCATGAATCCATATTTCATAGATATATGGCCCGCGCCTAGGTTAATCAACAGCTTAGGAACGAAGAGAGGGTTGACCTTTTTGTAACCCTGAGCCGAGTTGGTTAATTTTTTAAAAAAACAAGTAATTTCTTGAGAGATGCAGCAAGTTGGGAATGGGGACTTACTCCTTTTTCGTATGCAACGACAGTGTTATAGATCTCATCGAAATTACCGATTCCGGATCCTAGACAGACACCCTGCACAGACCATTAGTATAACTTCTTCCCAGGATACTCGAGGCAAGTTCAAAGCTATTGAGCTAATCCAAGGTACATACTGTCGCTTCTCGCTGCTCAAAAGGCTCCGGTTTCCAGCCAGCATCTTCCAAGGCCTCTTCCGTAGCAGCCATGGCGTATTGAGCGAAAAGAGCCATTTTGCGTTCGTCCTAGTTGAAAAGTGTCAATATACACCACCGATAAGAAACAGCAACAAGGAATACACACCCCTCGACTCAACCACTCCTCCGCCATCCACCCGCCATCCTTGCGACTGCCCTTGGGTACGACAGCGGCAATCTGACAAGGGATTTCCTTGAAGCGCTCATCACGATCATTGACATTGACGATGCCGCAGTGGCCATCCAGCAATCGTTTCCATGTTCGGCGCAGGCCTGTATCCGAAAGTGTTAGCTCCAGCCGAAAGAAATCGTAGGCACATAGTCTTATCGCCAGTTGCAGTAAACCCTAAGCTCTCCCCTCCCCAGTTTTAGATAGGATAAATACCCGCCCCGGCATGCCGTCATTGGTTGACAAGACCTTCCCCATCCGGCCAAGTGGAGACGCCGAGCAGTTTTTTTGCGGCGAAAAGTCCGGGGATGCGGTGTCGGCGGATGGGGATGCAGGTAGTCAATGTCGGTGCCGTCAGTCCCAGCAGAAGGGCAATGATAGGATGGCCCGATAGACAGGGTGCAAGAGGTGGGGAAGAGAGGGAGGGTGAAGATGCCATGATGTAGTGGATTGTGTAGAACTCACCCACGCCTAGCGGAGTCACCGCACCCAAGCCTGTCACGACGACACGGCGCATGACAACAATTGAGTTGTACAGGAGTAGCAGTAGCAATGACCGTGAAGTAGATACCAAGCTGTGTATGAAGAAAAGAGCAGAGCAGATCAGTGCAGTGCAGAAGTGGTTCCAAGAAGGGAAAGTCTGGACGATAACATAAGAGGCGGAGAGTCCACTGACTGGCGGATCCCAGCGGGGCATCTGTTGGTCCTTCCCTTTCGATGCCCACGCCGATTAGGAAGTTGACGGGAGAATATTCACCATGAACCACTTTATATCCCAGCTTTCCCTTCTTCCTGTTTTCTCTCCAGATTAAGTGCCTTTTGCTTTTTTGTTCTTCTCACAATGCCCGCCTGGAAGTCCCTTGTCGGCCTGCTGGCGCTGACCGGTGGTGCGGTCTCTTGCGCCCACCACGGCGATACCGAGGTCGTCCCCGAACATGAGCGCGCCGAGTTACTGAAGAAGTGGGATCAGGAGGTATGTGTGACGGTCAATTCGGAGCTTACTCGTATAATTCATTCTAAAAAATTCCTAGTGGTCCTTCTCCGGCATTGCCAGCTTCGCCCACCTCAACCCGGTCAAGTGCTTGATCGAGCCGAGCGAGAACTATGATATTGCCGTTATTGGCGCCCCCTTCGACACGGCTGTCAGCTACCGACCTGGTATGTTATATCCGAGACTACCTACAGCTCAATCCTTCCAAACAGCAAACTAATCTTTTCTTCCAACGAACAGGCGCCCGCTTCGGACCCCGCGCCATTCGCGCCGCCAGCGCCCGCCAAATGTCCGGAACAAGCTTCAACACCCGCGCCGGCATAAACCCCTACAAATCCTGGGCCAAGATCACCGACTGCGGCGACATCCCAATCACCCCCTTCGACAACGGTCTCGCCGAGCGCCAAATGTACGAAGCTTTCCTGGAGCTCGGATCGCGCAAGACCGTCAACGTCGCGCCCAAGGGTGGCGATAGCATTGGTACCGGCCACCCGAAGCTCGTTACCCTGGGCGGTGATCACAGTGTTGCTCTCCCCGCTCTGCGCGCCTTGTATCAAATTTATCAGAAGCCGATTACGGTTCTGCATTTCGATGCGCATCTCGATACGTGGAATCCGGTCCGATACTCTTCGTATTGGCAGAGTGAGCAGACGCAGTTCAATCACGGCAGTTTCTTTCACAAGGCTAGTCGGGAGGGATTGATTTCTAACACCACTTCTGCGCATGCGGGACTGCGGACCCGCTTGACTGGTGTTGATGCGGGGGATTATACGAACCCCGGTCCTGAGCAGGGATTTATTCGGATTCATGCTGATGATATTGATGAGCTTGGTCCTATGGGTGTTGTTGAGACTATTATTGCGAGAACTGGTCTTGATCCGGAACAGCCTGTCTATCTCTCCGTTGATATTGATGTTTTGGATCCGTCTACTGCGCCTGGAACTGGTACCCCCGAGCCCGGTGGTTGGACTACGCGCGAGTTCATTCGTATCTTGCGTGGTTTGGAGAAACTGAACCTTGTTGGTGCGGATATTGTTGAGGTCTCGCCTGCTTATGATAATAAGGGAGAGACTACGGCTCTTGCCGCGGCTCAGGTTGCTTTTGAGATTATTACTAGTATGGTTAAGTCGGGTGTTAAGGAGGATCTGGGTGGTTGGTATGGTCGTTTGTATGATGGTGAGACTGCTGAGGCTGAGGCGAAGTCTGCTGAGGAGGTCACTCGTGATGAGCTGTGAGTTTCGAGTCTGGGTTGTACAGGTTGCCTAGGTTGCATATGAGATGAGACACATGATTGCAGTATGATAGTATAAAAGAATGAATGAATGCCCAAATGATATTTCATGTTCTGTCAGCGCGAAACGAGTAAATACTATTCACCTGGGCAATAGCCTTGCAAACTTGCAGGTGGCAGTGGCAGCTGCTGCTCATCCTATCTATACAAATTTACAATAGTCCACTATGTACTGACAATGCAAGGCATTGATTGACCTGGACTTCACTGGTTATTTATTGAACTATTCGTTCACTCCAAGTCCCAGCCCAACATCGACCGCTCCAGTCAACAGTCTACGAATATTCAGATCATCAAAGAACTTGTCAATTGTGAGTCCTGTCTGCAACGTTCTAAGATCCAGGCTGATTTTGCTTTGCTCTTCGATCGAATAATAAAAAGAAAAGATGCATAAGCAGAATAGAGCAGAGCATGGCAGGACAGAACAGAATAGAGCATATAATAGTAGATAGCGGGACAAATGCTTGTATCTTGGAAGAAAAAAAGCGGAAGCATCGAGCGGAGAAATGAAGAGTATGGAGAAACCCGCATGCAGGGAACATCGGATTCGAGGTAAAACAGCAAGCTCAAACTTGATGGTATTGTCCAAATAGGCGTGATCGATAAGAATAAAAAGATAAGACGAAGGGGGATGGATGGATGGATGGAGGAGGAAGAGGAGGGAAAGTAACATGGACGGAAATCATCAGCCAAATCAATCACGACGCCCTGACGTCCAACGCCGAGAGACGATGAAAAAGGGTGGAAACAGGAAGGGGAATGAGGGATCGCGGAGGGCAGGAGAATGGTAGTAGTAGAGGTGATATCGCTGGAGTTCGTGAAGGAGAGGATGTTGAGTTGTTGTGAAAGGGGGGTGTTGGAAAGAGTCAAATCGAGATCCGCAGGGAGACAGGTGGACGCGGACGGGCGAAGCTGAAGCGAAAACAGAGAATAACATGGGGTTGAGGACAAACCGGGCCACCTCAGTTCCCAGGGACCATCGCAAG